GTCCTGAAATACAAAACAACAAGAATTCCGAGACTACATACCTCCATGAAATATGGGCTTAATATGTAAATGTAAATTTCTTCTTTAATTATGCAAATTACCTCTGCATTAACATGATATATGCATCACGATGTATGTTAACTTTTGATTAAGTTACAGATGTCCCAAGTATGACATTCCCATCATTCACCATTAAGAAATCATAGAATTTTTGCATAAATTATGCAAATTAGGTCATCATTTGCATAATTAGTATCTGTTGATGTTCTCCCTGCCATAGATTACATACATTACATGTATGAAAGTAGTATAATGTAAAACACTGTAATTATAGAATTTCCTCATTAGTTATGCAAATAAAGTCCTCATTTGCATAATTTGCATTTAGTCATGTACATCTCTCTCTCAGCTACCTACACACCAAAAATTATGAAAATATGTTGTTCCTATCTGGACTTATTTTTCATGGAGGTAATGATTTCAGAAAAAGTTCCGCTGTAGTATCAGACATGTAATTGCTGAATTGCTGACTTCATACTGTTAAATTTGCTGTTGCTGTACTTGGTTCTCCTCGTGCAATGTATGCACAATGTAGTTTTTATATCAATTCTGACTGCGTAGGTCAGTATATACGCAGCAGTTTATGGTTAAATACTTGAAACAACTCACCTTGTTCTCTGAGGTGGGATCCTCAAGGAATATTGCAACGTCCCACATGGTGATGTAACCCTCTGAAACACAAATACTAGTTAGACTAACTAGTTTCCTGTTGATGACCAGGATTTAAGGGGCAGCACAGAAATGGTCCTGTCTGTGGTGCTGAAAATGTTGCTGTCATGATAGCACATGTTGGCAAGGCCTCATTAAGGTCTGAAACACAGATTATCAAAACATGGAAAGGTCATTCTATTTTGCAAGTTATTGAGCAGACTGCAGTGGATGGCGTCATGCAGTCATCTCTAGTTGGAAGGAATTGCCTACTACATGTTGCACTTTTTATTCTATGTGGTCGTTCCGATGTCATGATGTACTCTAGTAAGTTAAGAGGTGAAACTGTAAACCAACTCAGAGATTACACTACAAACCACTAAAACTGGGAAAATCAAAAGGAGGGGATACAAAAGGACCAGGCATCTTACTGTGATCTGCAGTGATGAGCAGGTTACAGTCATCATCAGCACAGACGGCAGTAACAGGAGAGCCCTGCCGGCGGGTCAGAGCAGACACCTCTCGCAGCATTTCTCCCTGAGAACAGTCACACAGCAGAATTGAATTACATGTCATAGGTGTTACTAACATTATAATGTACCAAATAAAAGTCCAGGACCTCAAAAGTTTGTATTGGGTGGATTGAAACAACACAATTTATTGTAAGTCTTTGAAACTGGAAATAAAGCCTGGACTTAAAAGTGATTTATTGCCTTCGACTGAAGGCTATGCCTTCGGAGAAGGCTATGAAATCGCTTTTGCACTGTTTGGCAGATTAGGCACGATAACTCTTGAAGGCAAGGTCCGAGGTTCACGATTTTTGGCAGGCAGGTTGATTTGGGGGTGGCCATTGTCAAGGCTAAAAATGGGCTTCGTGGGGGGTTCCTAAGTCACTGTAGTTGACCTTGGTTTTTGGTGTTTTTTCCTTGTCATCAAGATATCTCGAGTATCCTTAAATGGATGTTCATGATTTTTAGTGGGCAAGTTACCGTTGAGAATGCCGAGGTCAAGTTCAAGGATGGGCCCCGTGGGGGTTTCTATGTTACTGCAGTTGACCTTTATTTTTTGTGTTTTTCCTTGTCATCAAGATAACTCGAGAATCTTTAAATGGATGTTCATGTTTTTTAGTTGGCAAGTTACCATTGAAAATACCAAGGTCAAGTTCGGATATGGGCTTCGTGGGGGGTCCCCACGTCATTGAATTAGAAATTACTGCAGCGAAACTTCTGGTTTTTAAATCTCGTGATCTGGACGTGCTAGGGTCATGATTTTTAGATGGTACGTAGCTCTTGTGCTCACAAAAAAGTGCCATAAGTTTGGGTCCCGTAGCAGCTTGTTTGGGAAATGCAGAGGCATTTGTTTGAAAATGTTTGAAGTAGGATAGCTCAAGAACCGGTTGACGGATTGTTGTTATTTTTGCTATCTCGGTAGCTAAAGTGGTGCTTGACCTAATTAGATGACAATTATGCAAATCAAGATCTAATTTACATAATTAATGACAAAAGTCTATAAATCTGCTGCGTTCCATAATAGAACAATTAAAATGGTGGCATATTTAATCAAGAGGAAGAGGAACATTAACAGATATTAATTATGTAAATTGTGACCCAATTTGATTAATCGATAAAAGAAATCTAAATGTCTTTTATACTGCACTAGACCTTTTTGGTTTCCACCCTCTGCGGATTACATTGACTTATGCAAACAAGGATAGCTGGAAAAAATTTCCTGTTTGTTGAAGCAACAGATCCCTTGCAAAATTGGCGAAGTGGGAGGTCCGTACGTTGCTGTAGTGGGCTTTTGGTGATTGTTGGTTAGTTTGTCAGTAGTTCAAGTTGTGGAAAAGCAATGTCTTGTTTTTTTTTTATTGTGGATTGGTCAAGGGGTTTAGATTGAGGGTTTCAAATTTGGAGTCTCTAGTAGGTAGTGGGTAAGTGCAATGGGACATTTTGTGAGAACATTTTCATAAGTGCAGGCCAAGTTTTGCTCCTTCTCGGTCGTTTTATGTAACGTTACTACAAATGTAGGTTAAAATAACAATTTACAGGCAGGGAGCTGTCAACCGTGGAAAAATATTCTAACAGTTGTTTGTTGAAATAACATCACCTGTCAACAACTTGCATGCTTAACCGCTGCTAATTGACACCTCTGTGTCCTCAGAGTGCGGCACATCTGGCCTTGGGGTATTTCCTGCAAAGTTGGCCTCGAAACATTCATGCATTTGTGTTATTTGTGCATACGGTATGTTACTATGATGCAAACATGATTTGAACCACATCACAAATTTTGTTTCTATCGGGCAAAAAGACTGTATACTGTACGATCTAGTATGAAAAAATAACTTGGCATGACCTGGGTGAAAGGGCAGGTTTGAAACTTTCTTGGGCCATCAGAAGAAAGTCGTGTTAGCTGAGAACTCATGCATAATCGGGCGTACGTAAGGAAAAACACTTTGGGTAGGATTGTACTAGGAGTCTTCCTATGGGTCATGTGGAGGTGAAATTGAGAAGCCAACATTGGAAGGCTAGGGTAAAATGTACACCATATGGGCTACCAAACAGTACGGATATAGCCAAACAGTATCCCCGAACCAAACGGACATAGCCAAACAGTATCCCCGACTTGAGGTATAACCGGCAACTAAAGGATCTACTCGATCGTGGAAAATGTTACGTTTCAACAAGAAGACATTTATTCCAATATTCAGGTTAAATTGCAGTGACAGGAAAGGCGTGTTGGGTAGGTCACCCGAGGCTGACCTAGCACTGCCAGGCATACCCCTGGGGCGTCCCTGGAGGACAGGCCGGTGGTGTTCCGCAGTAATACAAAGTCCAGCGCTGTTGTGGGCTAAAACTCTGAGACGTATGAACGGCGGCACCAGGCTACTCCCAGCTCAGCGCCAGTATACTGCTTTCCAAATTTATGGTGTTACATCCCGATTTTTCTAGATAATTTCGCAAAAATTTGTAACCAAATTTCCTGATTTCAGGGCTGAGTGGCGTCCATTTTGCCATGGTAAAGTCCTAGACATGGTACAGGCTAGGTAAATAGTATGTTGCTTCGTTCACAAAAGGACTCTCTGACCACTATAACTACGATAATCATCTTCAAAAAACCTACACTACACACACACACAACACCCTCCAAAACAATATCTGTCGAAGGCATGAGTCCTCCGAACTCTAGTTTCTCTTAACTTTAATAAATTTCTGCCAAAAATTGAAAACCGAGAAATTACATCAGTGTGACCTCATACAATCATCACTTGTACTCTACCTTCATGCTCCAGAAGCGAATGAGAGCGTCGTGGTGACATGAAACCAAGACAGGCTCGTATGTTGTCTCTATCATACTCATGACGGGATCGCCCGCAGTCTGGCTCTCTCTCTCCCCCTCATCTGTACCAGCACCTGTGGCCGGGGCATCCATCGGCTCCGAGATACGCACTGTGCACAAAGAAGCATAGTCAGGACAGACAGCTATGCGTTCAACGCTGACCATCATCGTGCATATAGAGTAATAGGTAAATAAGGACGTAATTTACGTAATGATTTAGGAAATGTTGCAATATTTTATATGTGACTCCATTATTAAAAAAGGTAGAGGAAGCTAGACAAATGGACACAGATTATGGTCATTGACACTTCTTTGTCTTGGTATTGGTGGTAAACTGAGTTGGTGCTTATGTTAGTAGAACGTAATGGTTAAAATGGCTAGTGGCACATTGAAATGACCTACCGTTACCATCCATGCCACTCTGGGGGACACCAGACGTTCTGGATTCAGTGCCTGCCTGGTCCTGATCTGGGGTCTGGAATATGGGAGAAACAAAACTGTTAAACTTGCACTCCTGTTACATGCAATATGCTGTCACTGCAAAATTGCCATGTGAAATTACAAGGGGATCTTAAGTAGTATATATTATGAAGTAAGTATACATACAAAGAAGTACTATCAGATGAAAAAATTGCTACAGTCATCTTAATAAATCATACCCATACGACACAAATCATATGCCCTCAATACAATATTATGCATTTTAAATATTAGGTCTTTAGGATAATAGGTGATTACCTTGGCTTGGCTCATTCTTGAGTCAATGAAACTGGGGGTTCGTGACTCCATTGTCATTGTCTGTGAACGGGACCGCTCTGACATCATGGATGCTCGCCTGCTGCCTTCCGTCTCGTCTTCTTCTGTCGGCATGTCCTCCCGAACAGCGTGGTGTCTGGTCAGTCTCCTGGTGGGAAAAATCATAAGAAAATCATGATACAATATTTCAACATCTTATATTTTGTAATGATGACTGAGATGTAAGAACGGATGGATTCTCCAGCACACCCCATTATGACAATACAGTACCGTTCATGATGTTTTGCAGTAAATTAATTTTTTTTTAAAGTTTACCTTAAAACCGTTTTACTTTTTCTAGCCAAATTAATGCAGACTGTGTTAAAAAGTAAGAGTGGGAGTGTGTAGGAATGTATGCCCATTTTCAATGCTCTCTTTTATATCTCACAATGTGCAGTTAGTTTTGGTTCATATTTGTTCAGCATGGGAGATAATGCTTGACATAATCACACTGATACATACTTGATGTAAGCTGGATCAGGCCGGCGTGTCCTGTGCACGAGGAATCTGCAGGCGTGGACGGAGTGTGGGTTTGCGCTCTTGGCGCGACTCCTGCTGGGGGAGTTCTCCTGGTTCTCCTCCTCTTCCTCCTCATCCTCATCCTCATCCAGCCGCCAGCTGCAGAAATGCATTGTGGGAAATTGTTGAAATAGTTAATAATTTAAAAGGAAACAATGATTAACAGCATGAGCACAAAACTAACCCTTTCACAACCCTCCCTATAGAATGGTCCATTGACTCTTTGTTTACTCACATGTCTTTGACGACTGTTCGTTGAATGTCCCAGATGAGGATGTTGCCATTGGTGCAGCCTGTAGCCGGCTGGTCAGGAGGCAGCATAGTGGTGCACTTCAGTTCATGTGTCTGCAGCACGTTCTCCTGAAACAAGAATCAGGGATATCAAACTGGGAAGTAGATATAGTTTGTATTTATCACATAATTGAATGGATTATTATGATATGAATGATTGTATGACATTTCATTCCATTTGGACAACTTGCATTTGTCATGTTATAATCCTGAAAATTATACTAACCTTTTCAAACATCTTGGTGACCTGGGGTATGCTGCTTCTACTCAGGGGGCTGTCACTGCCTTCAGGTGATGGAGACACGATATCATGTGTTAATTATCATATTATTCCAAAATGTAAATTCATTTGCATTGAATGTTACACTTCATCACAAGCCATTTATTCTTTGTTTTTTCTGGACAAGTACTGTAGTGAATCTTGTAAATCAGAAGCTTACCACTTCTTGACGAACTCCTTGATGATTTATCCCGAGGACAGTACAAGTCCACAAAGTCCAGGAGTACATTCAGTTCACCAACCTCACCACTGTCCTGTAATGTAATAATATTAGTAGTAAGCTGTGATATCCGATAATAACACCCAAAAGGCAACACGGTCAAGTACCCCAGAGTGACACTTGACTTGTTGAAAATTATCATATCCTTCAGGCTTCAACATTATCTTACATTTCTGTGTATTTTTGTCATGACTCTTACCCCGGCCACACACCCACCTCTATGAGTCTGAGTCTGTTGTTCCAGCCCAGGGCAGTGATACATCTCTGCTCCTCGTACAGCACATAGGCCAGTGCCGTCACGCCTGCCTCCTCATCCTTCTCCCCTGCCAGTGCAGGCAGCACCTTAATCTCCTGACCACTGCCAAAGTCCCACACTTTGATGGAGCCTGTCAATACAGATGGGTTGTTGCAATGAGATGAAAAAAAAACTTCACAATATGTTGATGATGAATTGTTATAAGCTGTCCCATGTGTAAGACTGACTAGTTTTACTGTTGATGACCAGGATTTAGTGGGCAGTACAGAAACGATGCTGTCTTTGGTGCTGAAAGTGTTGCTGTCATAATAGCACATGTTGGCAAAGCCTCATTTAAGCCAGCTAATAGATACTTGGCTGTCAACACCCAGCATTTGCTCCGAATTGTCGATTATAACTTATATGAGTTTCAAAATCGCCTATAAGTCACAACTTACCATCAAGAGCTCCAGTTGCCATCCTGTATCCAGTTTTGTCAAAGGCAACAGACGTGACCTCTACATTGGGTCCGTGTGCGTCTACGATGGTGTACACCAGCTTCCCAGTATCCATCTCCCACACCTGAACAAAATGCAGACAATAACATATAGTTTGGCTGGGCATCACTGACTCGGTGTGCGTCATGTGAGCCATAATCAAGCCGCATTGTAATAGTATCTACTTGAAAAGCATCATGATGCTTCACCTCAGTTAAGGATGACAGTAACAGAAGAAGAATTGTGTATGTAGGTATAACAATATTGTTCAGTATTGATGCACTTTTAAAATGCATTATGTATACAAAGAGCTATCCTGACCTTGAGTACAGACTCGGTGCAGATAGAGACGACTTGGTTGAGTTCCTTGTTGTGGACCACCTGACTGATGGGGCGGTCATGGGTGTGAGGGACCTGCATCGTGTCCTGCACCGCACGGGTCAGCGGCCACTGGTCAATCACACTGGACCCTGGGGTGGGAGGGGAGCAGGTGAAAACAACCCTAAAAGACCTATGTCTCCCTATTCTCCCACAACTCAACATGTATTCAACCTAATAAACCTGTAACCCTATGTTGGAACATAGGGGCGTCAGAACATAGGGCTGTCTCCGAAAACAACATTAGACATTAAAAGTGAGGTTTATTTCATTATAATATAATCATGATTGTGCAATACACATCATGTAAAAGTATTTGTTTGTGATGCAAAGTTGAATATCTTTGCTCTGTGTTCTTAATACCTGTAAGCAGCCTGTCGTGCTTGCTGTCAAAGGCCATGGAGTAGATTCTCTTTTCGCCTGGACGCTCCTCGTTGTCTGTAAATACCTGGTGCAGTGCCACAGTATATCATTGTTAGTACTACAGAGGGAGAACTGATTCAATTCTAGAGATCAAATTGGCCAACTTGGGAGGTTATTCCATTCTGCAGGGGAAATAGACTAATCTTGATAATCCATCACACATCACACATCTTGATAATCCATCACACATCACACATCACACGCAGTTCAACCAATGACAGAATGATAATTTGTGGTTCAACCAATGAAAGAGTGGCCGATCTAATTGACCTTAACATACAACCTGTTCAAACTGTAGCATCAGATTGTAGTGCCCCCGTAGTGGGAAACAATGAACACTACTTCCCTATGGTAAAGAATTCACTGTTTGTGAGAAAGGATGCTCTAATTATAAAAAATAAATAATAACATGTGAATTGGCCTTCATGAAGAAATCAGTGCCATTGAACAGATGAAAGATAAAAATGAGATATACCTGCAAACTGGTGAGAGTGTGGATGTCCCACACACGGAAAACCTGCATGAAACAAAGAACATCACCAGTAAGTCTAAGTCTCAAAAGAAAACTGCGACTGGAACATGGATGTTAGGTGTATAATGTTACATGTTCAAATGTAAAATAAAATGCATCTAAACCATCCATTAAAATAATCTAGCTTTAACTGTGGGTGATTCCACAGAGAAATAATTATTTTAGTACTGTAACTATGGCTAAAGAACAGTTGGAAGCAACTGTCCATGGTGCTGATTGCTGGGTGCCTCTAAACTCTTAAAGGTGCCCTAAGCGATATCTGGCCGATAGTAGGCTGGGAGCATTCAATTTCAAAAGTCTGTCTTTTTGTCACATTTTCACGCAGTATGTTGAATCAACCCTATCCTATCCCATACCGATAGTCATGGAGCAAAAATTCGATGCCGCTTTGCCGTACGAACGCCGTGAAAAACTACGTGCCTCCCGCCACCGGCAGTGGTGTCGGCCATTTTTGAAATTTCCGAGCGCTCGCGAACACTTCCGACTTCTTCCGACCAGAGCCGAGGACGAGTCACGTGGTTAACCACGAACGCGCTGAATCAGTCGAACTGCAGGTCATCCTGAGTTTCCGCTACATATTGATACATTTCGCGTAATGTCATAAAATTCGTTTCTTGGTATGAGAAACTGTATGAATGTGGCTACCACATGCGATATAATAAGTGATATGATAACATTCAAGTATATACAAAAAGAGGAATTGAATACAAGGTTCTGACCATTCAAAAATCGTCAAATTTGAAGTCAATCGGTTTCGAACTCTTGCGTTCGATCCATGGAACCAAGGCAGCGCGTTCCATTTTTCGCGGAAGTTCCCGAAAATTGTCGACGGGAAACGGTTACTTGGTGGATTTTTGGGCCGATTAAATGGAGGCCCCGATAAATCAAGCAACTTGTCTCTGGGCTAGTTTCTGTGCTGTTTCAAACGCCAAACGTATGAAATAATGATGCAAATGTGCTGATACTTGGTGGTATGTGTCAATACCATACAGATTGTCTTGTTCTAAATATTTCCTATTTTAATGCCCTGATATCGCTTAGGGCACCTTTAATTTATGACAGGCCTTCCCTATCCCCATTTTAAGTCTGTGGCTAGCAAACCTTTAACCTTATGCTTTTTATTATATGTTTATACATCTTTTTAAATCTTGTATATTTGCATTGTACACTTCCCTGTCCTGTATGGAGACAGAGATATAAACAACTGTACACACAGTACAATTTACGTTAACTACTGGTGGACCAATGACGACAGACAGGTCCTTACCCTGGCAGTAGACAGACTGATGAGATGCTGATCCTTCTCGTTCACAACCATCTCCACAATGGTGAAGAGATGACCAATCATCTTTCCTGAATACATAGAACATGCAGATATGGTACATGTATTATCCAATCGCCACAGCCTTATTGATTAAAAAAGGAAAGTTGCACTAGTGGACTGAATATGACAGGTTCTCAGAGACTTACCTGTCGGTCTTGAAAAGATGTTTGGATGCCATATTCTGATGATCTTATCCACGCCTAGAAATAAAATAAAAGATGAAAATGTCAATGATTATTGCAGAATTGCCTCATGGTGCTCAGTTTGACATAAATGTGCAAAATAATCAAAATCCCTTGAACCCTGCTTTTGCTTACCCTCCAATCACAAACACTGTTACGAATCCTACTGAGAACAATACTGTGTGTAGAATTCTCTGTAAACAAAGATACGGCTTACCTCCTGTTGCTATGACGTTGGCACGTGCACAGTATGCAAATGTGTTAATTCCTTTTGAGACTGACAGACTGCGAACAGGCCTACAGAAAAGAAAATTTTGAATGAACATTATCATAATATGACTCTACAAATTATACATCTTCCTGAAATATATGTTCTTGTAGCGGGCCACTTACTCCTTACCTGAGATGAAAAAATAAGTTTTTTTATTTTTGTTCTGAGTTTTAAAAAAACATTTAGATCGTACTTACTGGTTGTCTTTTATTCTGTCAAGGTCATCTAGAACAAAGGAATGAAGACTGGAGGGCGAGCAGGACCCAAAACAGCGCAGCTCCGGGAAGTACTTGATCTTCAGCACCCAGTCGTCATGAAGTTTACGTCTTAGGATTGGACTGAATAATGTAAAAAAATCAGGTATTGAATTGTTATAACAGAACAAAGATGATGATGATAAAGTATGATATACCCTTGTAGCAGCACCATACTGCCCACAGAAACGCAGTAGGGTAAACTGTCTTATTCTGATTAATACAGATTGTACTTAACTTCTGTCACTGACAAAAGATAGGATAGCAGATGCTGTCTGAAACGTCTGATAATTTATTCATTTTCTTGATTTATTTTGTATTATGTGATGTTCTTCTATATACCTACCAGATGGCTAACTTTGAAATTCATGAACAGATTGCAATGTTGAACCTAACCTAACATAGGTTAGACGTTAACATGTTAACACGTTAGCACTGTGGGAAAAGACAAAATGTGGCATTTTTTTTATACGCATAAAGAACCATTTAGACATGGATTAACACCAGTCCGAGTGTGGTTCCAGGTGGAAGCTTACTTGCTGAGTTTTGATGGCTCTATGATGGGGTTTGTGTTCTTCCTCTCCCCCTTGGAATGTTTGGTGTGAAGATCTTTGGACGCAATAGTCATCATGTTGACAAACCCTGCGTAACAAACACAGATCAACATATCATATCAACATCATATCAACATTTTATTCTGATATTGTCATTCAAATGAGCATACATGTAATGTTGACTAAACCTAATTCTGCCAAGTCACGTATTTCCGCTCTATCCTGGGAAAATGCATCTAAACAGATCAAAATCTAAACAATGAAACGCCTCCAGTATAATGCACTCCTGCATATCTTAACTACAGTCAAACCTGTCAGTCCAACCAACTCCCTGGCTTCCCGACGCACTCACCTGCCGGGCCGGGGGGATAAGACCCTAAACAAACGCAGCATTTTACCACAACACGGCCTCGGAGCACGTAACTCCATACAAATCATCGGCGATCGGCGCCATTTTGAATTCAGGAATTGGTCCGCAAAAACAGGTCGGACCCTGAGTTTACGACAGATTACGTCATGATACCTGCATCTTGAACGTTGGAGAGTTGAAAATAACGACGTAATCTGTCGTAAACTCAGGGTCCGACCTGTTTTGCGGACCAATTCCTGAATTCAAAATGGCGCCGATCGCCGATGATTTGTATGGAGTTACGTGCTCCGAGGCCGTGTTGTGGTAAAATGCTGCGTTTGTTTAGGGTCTTATCCCCCCGGCCCGGCAGGTGAGTGCGTCGGGAAGCCAGGGACACCAAAAATCCGGGGCCGGCCCGTTGCATGAGGCCCGGCACGGCAAAGGTTGGTTTTGGCCTATGCATTGCACCACGACTCTGTCCCGGCATTATCATGCAAAAAGGGTACCAGAGTCGTCCACGGCTATATTTTGTCATACTTCTTGCCGCTATTTTCCACTTTTTTGCCTCAAATTCTACGATATGAAGTATAATTTGCATCAGTCACATGATTGTAAATTTAGAAGACTGAACTGAGAAATTGTGTAATAACTTTGACTTCAAAGTCATATGTGTGTGATGTCAATAAAATCTCACTATCAAAATGTACTCTGTATTTTCTTTTTTGCTTATAATTATTTATTTGTAAGAGCCTACCCTGCCAAGATACCAACCAGACCCCCCCCCCAACTGGACCATCCAACCACTCCCAGTCAACAACCATTTTTCCTTGGTCCCTTGAGTGGTTGTTGGATACAGGTTTGACTGTATGGGGTGATGCAATAGACATCTCTATGAATGATGGGTGGATGAATGTTAATGAGTAACCTCAAAGAGTATGGCTAAAGTAGTTTTCCTATTTTCAGCATCAATGCCAAACAATAGTCCTTATTTTGTATGTGAACCACTGATCTCCCAGGGCTTTAATGCCCTACCTTGATCATCTCCAAACAGTAAAGTGTCGTCATGAGTACTGTCAGTGCCTGGGATCGCTGCCATGCACTGTGGTGAGTGTTCCATGGGTTTGATGGTGAAAATATTCTAGACAGAAAAGAAAAGAAAATACATTAATTTGGTATATATGCTCATTTTAATTATTCCATTAACATATTCTCTGAGTTTTGAAAGTAATACTGTGTAACAGCCCCTTCGTGACACATATAACGAAAAGTAACACCAACAAGAAAACGACATTAAATGAATAATAATGAAAAGAGAACTTGCATAATGAGCTGGTAATTTTTTAAATGTCATAATTTCACTTTGTCCATAGCTTAGATATTTTGAGTATTGTTTACACCCAGCTGCAGAATGAATATACCTGTTAATGCCTTAAAAAGAGCAATGCTGTGGATGTTACTTCCACACAGCTGAAATGCTCACCTGATTCTTGCTTTTTGCTCTGTTGTCCCAAATTAAAATACTTCTTTCTGTGCAAGCCTGGATTGAGGTAAAGATAGAATCTTGATATAATCATCATCATCATCATCATAATACTTATTATTACAATACATCACATTTTTTATAATAGAGGATTACACTGAGAAACTCACCAAGACTCACCAAGGTACAAAGATAGCTCAAACCAGTTGCAAGACGTATATGATATATGACTGCAGAAATCTCATTCAGAAGGTCTCTAGAGATTTAGTCTACAATGTAAAATTGGGATACACATGCAGCATGTTGAGTAGAAGCTCACCGCCACTCTCCGGAGCCGTGGTAGATAGTCACACCCTGTGACCCAAGCTGTATCCTGTATGTACACAGCGACAATGTATTAATCACAAATTAAACAGCATTAAACTGCTGTTCCACGCAATAGACAACAACAACGTTTAAGATTTCATACCTTTATGATATGTTTATAGTTTATTCTTGTTCCATTTTATTGTTAGGAATTTTGCTGTCAAATACGTTCCCCACTGGCACCCAAACTTTCTGCTAGCTGGGACCTAACTTCCTGTGTCCCAGGTATTTCCCCGGTGGTGTGCTGTCATTCAACTGTACAAGCACACAAGCGACAAATAAAGCACACAACTACCCCCCAACAATTATACAATGATAAGGTAATGATAGACAATTCCGAACTCTCCTGATGACACAAAACGACAGACTTACATTCAAATCACAGCAGCTCTGGAGTTTCAACTGGAAATTTGAAAAAAAAAAGAGAGAGGAGTTAAGTTTAGCCTGAATTTAGATGTAACAACTACTAGTATACAATCTTCAATGCAAATTACCCTGCATTTGATTAACATGTACATGTAATACGTATACCTTGCTGTTGTATATGGAAAGCGTTCCTTTCTGTGAAGCTGTGATGTAGAAGTCACCTTCCTTCAGGTGAATGATGGCTTGTGCGATATCCCTCCGCTTTCTGTCCCCTGTGGAAGTGATAGATACAATTACTAAATGTAGATACCGTCGTGCACGTCCACAATCGAAGATACCAGTCTAATTGTTTGGAAAAGGAATCTGTTTTGATTGTTACGGTATAAAAAATCGGGTGTCAAACCTGCGGCATCCCCGACCCTCGTGCGGAACGACACGGTGAAGACGCTGGCGTCCTCGGTCATGGCTGGCTCTGCCTCCGGCACCTCCGACTGGAAGTACCCGAACAGCTGTAGAACCATCAAACATGCTCTGGTCAGTAAAGGGGGGCTGCTACAGTGTGATATCATTGCAAGTTTACAATTTACTTAAGGTTCAACATAAGCTAGTTCCACAATGTGTGTGGTGTACGCTACAGGATTTGAATGCCCTGTTTCTCCATTCGATAAAGGTATTTTGATCTTCCAATCTAAAGCCGGCGTCACAATCCCAATGAGCCGATCGCGAATTGGGTGATTACTATGATTTCAAAATTGGCCCAGGGTCGATGTTTTCTCGTCTGACAATCTTCCCTGTTACAGCGAACGGGATTTGGTTACCTGCGAACTTCGGCCTTCCCCTAAAAATCGCGTAGTGATCGAGAGGACACCAGCTGAAAGTTCTGGCCAAAAATAGCATTTTGAGCTCGTCCCGGCTATTTTCATGCTATGTAATGGGCTTGGGTCAGACAGCCGAAGAGGACTAACGATTTAGGCAAAAAATTCCGGTAGTTCTAATTTTGTTTAGTTGGAAAACAGTCACATTGATTTGTCCACCAAGACTCTAATCGTGGTTTATCAATGAATGAAGAGACTTACTTCGCTCCAGTCCACCTTCGCATCTGGATTGGTGGAGATTTTCCGAAAGATAGCTTTGAGGTCTTGGTTCCGAATGTCTGGACCGAACAAGGACCGAATGGACTCACAGAACTGTTCATAGCGAAGTCCCTCTGGAAAAAACATTTGATACATTATTATCATTTTTTCGAAATGTACACAAAATACGTTAGGTGCCAGGTAGTGTGCGTTAATCAGAATATTTGAAAACTTAAAGTATAATATGTATAAAATTTAAACATGGGCGAAATGTACCAAAATATTGTATTGTATGCGTTTAGACGGATAAACACCGCAATTTGCTATATGTCGGCATGAAATGATGTATATATGACCATGGGAACTGTGCGAAACACTGACCCTACCCCGCTAGACAAACATTGTAATCAGTAATGGTGACAAACATGTCGACGGACAGGGATCGCCGTCATGATTTCTTGTTCCCAGGGCCATATATTTACTTTGATTTATATACATTATTAAGGGCCATACATTACGTTAAGCCGATGCATATAGCAACATGCGATGTATAATAATCACACACACATGCACGCACACACACACACACACACACACACACACACACACACACACACACACACACACATGTACGCGCACACTCACACTCACCAAAGACAATACCTAAAAATGCGTCCTCAGATGAGACAGAAGCGCACGGGTTTCTTTCTGTCCTTACTAGCGCCCTCTGTGTGTCATTTGTACGTTATTTGTTCATCACTTGCACATAAACTCGTACGTCCGTTTGCCGATTTTACCTGTCTTTACATTTGTATGGTTATTGACTTGCCGTAGATCTTACGAAAGTCCATACACTTGTCGATGAAGTATTTATAAACATTACTAAAGGTCAATAGCAACTCAACAGGGTGATTTGAATGTTGTAAAGATAAGCCTGACGATTGCTGACGGCGCCACTCATTCTCAACCACCGGGCTTCAGAACAAGTGTGGACAAGTACTGTACACACCGCGGGAAGGTCGCGAGTAAGCGGGTAAACACCAGCACGACAGGTAACAACGTTCGTGCAAATTTACTCTGTAGCCAGCTTTCAAATACAAACCACAGGTACAAGTAAAATTCTGGCATATGACCAAAGTTCATATCTGGTCAGAAGACAGACGAAAGGCACGGTAGTGTTTCAAAGTGGCAGTAGGTACAAATACGTCTCAAATAACGTCATGGTTTCTGATCTTCTCCAAGCAGAGGCTGGTGGTATAGCTTCTTCTGCCAGACTGCTTGAATAGTTGACCCTGCGCGTTAGCGGGGGAGCATAACGTCCTGCGGCGTTAAGCCGCAGTTCCAGTATTTTGGACAGCCTTAAAACCCCATCACACTTCTCTACATCAAACAGGTGTCTGAAGGGCTAATACTAAGCCCCTCCCGGGATATCTTCAAAACTTGACACGTTCCTAGTTACAGCAGTTACAACAACAATGGCAGCACGGTGCTAGGTTACACACATATGCAAACTCGGGCAGGTTAGTTGTACAGGTGTTTAAATAGGGGCAACATCTGTTGTTATAGACAAGGTGATATCCATGTTTCTGTCACTTTACCACGTCAGAGTCAGAAAGTGATAAAATGACAGCATTACGTTTGGACATCGATATTGTTCTATTAAAAGAGTAAGCTATCTAAAAATAAATGGACGCTATACTCCTGCTTGCCCCCCTCAAAAAAGTCGACGTAACCCGCATTGCATTGCAATGTTGTTCAACGTGTTGTACAAAAGCAAGAGGTTTTCTTTTTTCGAGAACATAAATCTAACGGTAGGCAAAGTGCACAGAGCAAAAGTAACCCCTTCGCTGCGTGTCTAACCCCGTTGTTTCTGCCTGAATGGGTGCGGACAGAACGCTCTGTTCCCCGGCCATTGTTTCCCATTGGGTCGTGTCCTTACACCGTGAAGGCAAACATTCCGGTCGTCGCTACCATTCGTTTTTCTAAAACAAATGTGTCGACTGAGTTGTAACTAAACACAGTTTGTTTCTCTTCTTGATTGTCTTTAATGTAGTGAGAACGATCCGTCTGATATGCTTACTTTACAAGGGAAATAATACTTGTGCTTGATTGAACGGTGAACGTCAAACCTGAATGGAGCTGCTTAGAATACAAATTTGGAGGATATACGGATGGCTAACGTTGGTACTTGTGGCGTACTAACTAGTATGTCTTTTTCTGACATCGGTTTATAGTCCCACTTCACATGTATACCGACGAGGATTGGAAAATAAATAAACAGCTGTTCGCACTAGTCTGACACATTAACGCTGTCTGCAGGAAAACATTTACACAGCAAATTGTCAGCCACAACAGCTGGACACCTGTTGGATTTTACCATGGTCAATACTGACCGCAGGAGGCCATATAGTGATACAACCTAGGCCTAATGTCTGGAGGACTTTTGACACGTATACATTTACAGAATTTCGTAGTCTGTATTTTGCTGAGTGTGCTGTGATCCATTGAGACAGGGAAAAATGACTAGCATGTTAGGTGGGTTAGATGACCTGTTGTTCTGTTCCGACTGACTTGTGACTGTTTGTGTTGTAGACTAGTTGTCCGCACACCTCCTTACCGCCTCGATTTTTTTAGCTATTACGTATTTGGCAGCTGACAGACTCAGAAACATTTTGTTTCAATGCTAAACTAAAGAGTAGCACCTGATTAGTCTTTGGTCGACCTCACACAGCAAATAGCAACCAGCACACGTGCATGTAGATGGTCCCATGGGATTAGAAACACTGCCTAGGGCTGCTTTTTCTACTGACGACAAACATAACAGGTGTGTTAGTGTCTCACCGCTGATGGCTTGCCGTTTCTCCTCGGGACTGGCATCGCTGTCCTGTTGGGTTATATCCGCTATCAGCCGCTCGAACTGGTTCAGCTTCCTCTGGAACGTGCCGTGTGTGTACGGGCGCTGCAGCCCGCTGCCGCCGACAGCCTGTACCGCCGACATACCTGCTCACACCGGCCACCTGACAACCCCGGCACGGGATGCCCTACAATGGGTTTGTCCAGTAACGTACAGATGTAGATGCCTGGCCACATCCAACCTCAACACAGCTGTTTAAGTCCATTGAATTCTGGACAGAAAGCTTGTCACATAGCAAGCTGGCTTCAACTCACTTCCACTTCGTGTCCTCTAAACTGTAACGTCACCTAAGCAACACATGTTGTGGGCGTGCATGGGGGTTACGCGCGTGTCTCACCTGCCGACAGGTGTCAACCGCCAACCATCAAAGGCAACCAAAAGTTTCCCTTGAAGTATACTTGCGAGGTTCGACCTCTTGTCTACGCAAATTCCCTGAAATCGGACATTGGGACTCGACAGTTACCACGTTTTTTGTATCAGAATGTCTCTATACAGACCCCTCTTAAGGCAACAGTCTGAAGTAAAAAGATCCATATCGATGGTTTGGTGACAAATTTAGCGGCGGTCCCTTTCACATGCTAATGAGGTTCTTTCACTAATTGTTTGTTTGGCATTCAATCCTAGGGACCCAAAGAATCTCAGTTACATTTTCTCACTCTACATAAATGGCCTTAGTCGTCTTTATGTCAGGACAATGCAAGGGAAAATTGACCTGAGTGTTTGTTTAGGAACAAACAAAATAAACACATTGGCTGTCAGTACCTCATGGTCAGCTGCAGATGGCACTTTGTGTGCAGAATTCATAGTCATGAAATTGTAACGCTAAGTTTCCTCTCAAATGCCCATATTGTATAAGAATGCATGTATTTGCAATTTTTGCCACTTTACACAGTAAAAGTCTCTACAAGAGCAGCAGTTACTGCCGGGTCCTTTAGATGTTGCTTTTATTTTTGTGCGTCTTTTTTGCTTACTTTGTAAGCCGATGTCCATATATTGGCATTTACAAAGTCGGACTTGGAGATTAAGTGTATCCTAAAGGCGTATGTTAGACAGAGTCTCTTTTACCATCTCTCTAGCTATAGGCTTTGCCAAATGCTTTCATTGACATCTTTTAATGGTTTAGGTTATGGTTTGAATAAAACGGCAGGAATAGGTACACTAATGTCCTTGGGCACACAATTCAGCCACATCCTTAGTAAGACGTTGTTCTTATGCTAGTATTTTAGCTAGATATGAAGGTTAACTAACGGGAATATGTCCTATCAACAGTATGTTTCCGATTTTCTGCTTCATCGCTGTTAGATTACACAAAAGACCAAAAGATGCATGGTCTAAATCGATCTTAGTACATGTAGCTTGCAACTTTCAGATACATGATGAGTCCTCAGTCGATAGTGATAGTTTGAGGGACCTCGTATTGTCAATAATAAACTGGTAACGTACGGAGCTGCAATTATCTTTGACTGATACCAGTGACATTGGACCCTCGGTCTCTTTACCAAACAGACCTTCTCACCTTGATGAGCCGGTAGGGTGGCTATTTTAGTACAGTTAGTGGCGTCGGCCATCATCAACCCCATTCACCAGCCAGCATGTCCCCTTTACAATGATAGCGTACTTTTGTTGTGCCCGTGATTTCAATAATTACTTTGACTAGTGATTCCTTAGGCCTTGTCTCGATAGGGACGAAGAGGATACTAAGTAGAAAGTAATTAACTACAGCTAATTGTGACAAAAATATAGAACAGTAACTGTTTTATTGATATCGTGACATGGAGGAACATACTTACAGGGCTACTAACATGGGCTCTGACTTGTTCACTACACTTGACTAATCATAAAAACCCATAACATTTAACAAAGTTCACCAGTTAAAATAAGTTAGAATATTTACATGACAGGGTTAAATAACTATCCTTTTAACAGTAGTTGCATATTCAATGATCACAGTTCTGGGAAGAGGCTGGGCATGTACCATGATATGATTTAAGAGTCATTGCACGAGAAAACCAGGCAGAGGCCGGAAGATGGGGGTCGGCCAAATCGGCTCATACTTTGTATGTGAGATAGGTATGAGAAACTATCAACAGCCATATAGTTAAAACCCTCCAGGTATTTTTCGTTATGGAGTTCTGGGACCCCCCTCTGAGACCCTCAAAAATCTAACAATTTATGGCTGAAAATTACTGAAATTACAATGGACACCACGGTAATTCTGATAAAGATATGAACATGGGGTTTCTTTTGTCACATAGCATGGGTCTTCTACTTTTACAAAACAAAAATTGAAGATGCAACATTGAAGTTAAAAGGGTATACCAGGGGGTTACCAGAACCAATGAAAACAGAATTTTCATCTTTCTAAATTTTAGTCATTTTTAAGTAGCCTTTTCTCCGTGACGCGGCAAATTTGATGAACGGTTTTACCGTTGCTGGAAAGAGGAACATCTGCTGATTCAAGAACAAGTGTCGTTTAATTGGGCCACGCATAACGCGGGCCGTGAACGAAGGGTCTTTATGGGGGTTTTCCGGGTTTTGGACCATAATAAATTAGCCAACAACGTCTCTTTACGGGGTAAATCATGGACATTTTTTGTGCAGCTGCATGGGATCAATGGACAATTGTTGAAAAATGCTAAAAATAATTAGAAATATTCGTTGGGGCTCCACATGGGGGATACAAGGATACCTAAAAAGCAAATTTAAACTGATTTTACACAATTTATCGCATATTATTTCTAATTTCCATTAGTAACTATCTTTCAAAATTAATTTTGTGCATTCACTTTGTGCTAAATAATATGGAGGCTATGTATGGGGGTTTATCAGAACACCATGTGTGAAACCAGCTACCAAAAAGCACAAGCCACATGGGTGCATACACGTAGATACAAGTACTCCAAATGGACAATCTAGCAATAGGACCAAGAATATGAGGCGTTTAAGCTAAATATAACAGTAAAAACAAGCAAATTCAACTAAAGGCCACTGAAAATACAGGTTTGCCAAATATACTCAGGCTTTCATTATTGGATTAAATGAACTAGTTAGCATTTACATATACAAGAACATCTGGTTCTACTCAGCTTATAAGATAAGGAAACCAATTCATCAAAAATCCGTCATCTAATAACAAATCAGCAATAAATTTTACCAAATAAAAATCCCAGACCAGTAAGAATTGCATTACAATATAATGTCAATCAATTCAAATGAGAAAAGTATCTCCATCATTGACTGTGCCATCATCGACTATTCCTTGATATATTTATAACAATTCAGGCCTAAATTACTGGATATTGTCATTATGCAAGCATTGGATTAATTTTTCAAGTATCCTTATGCCCACCCCCATGCAGAGCCCCCTTAAACCGGTAGCATTTTTGACAACAGTACTATGCATGGTTTTCCTCCAACTTGACAAAAACGGCCATATATTGCCCTTCACTGTGACATTTTATGATCGATTTGTATGATCTAATAGACCCATGGCCCATTTATGTGTGATTTGTGGTCCAGTAATTAGACCAGACTTGTTTCTGAATGAACTGAAACATGTCTTCTATCCTGCAAGGATAGTGTTCCTGTTTCTGGGGAACTAAAATTAAGAGAGATGAAAAGTCTCATTTCATGATGTAATGTGCTAAAACTAAAAGGTTGAAAACAATTTAAAAGCACATAGCAAAACACTTTCATTTCCTTATAGCACTGGTCCTATTTTGAAAATAGACCATTTTCTCTAGATCTACAGACCATTGTGCGCACGTTGACATGTAGACATTTGCTTTAGTTTTCCACATGTGTACTTTTGAGACTTTGGCAAATGAGGAAGAAAAACAAAGTTGTACTAATATCTAGGACAGCTCAACCTGTACCTTCTTTTGGTGAATGAGTGTCTTTGCTTGAATCAGAGTAAGTAAGTAAGTAAATTAACTCTAGAACTAACTTATTATATATCACAGACATATAATATGATATGTTTTAAAAATGTTACAATTAAGTATGAAATGAATTTGATTGACTTTGTTTCACTTAGATGATTAGCAGTTAGAATATTTAAATCAAGATTTGGCCAATGACGTTTACAATAAATATGCACAGTTCTCCTGATACATTCCAAATTTTCATGCCCCCGCACCCCAGACAAGTCAGTACAAACCAGCCCTGGCAGACTTTTTGCATTTTTGTGTTTTATTTTTGCAAACATAAGTTTTGTAAAAAGAGATGCCCGAGGCGGGCGATTGTCACGATTGCGAAGCTTGCAGGAGCGTCTCCAACAAATGCACTTTTGGAACGCCGTACAAACTAAAATTCTCAATCATAATATAATAGTATATGATTAAAACCAACCTCCAGACTACATTGAATGTATACTTTCAGTGCTGTTATTTTCCAGCCTTTGGTAATCACCTTGGTGTCATATTGTCTAAAGGCATTTACAATATGCTCAGTTCATTTAAATATTGTTTTCTAAACAATCCAAGTAAAAAGCCTTTCATTTCATGATAATTTCGTAAATAGCAAATTGTACAAGCTGAAAAGACGTTCTAAATAGAAAATGCTAAACTGTTCACTGTTCAGAAAGCCACTGTGGGAAGAACGCCCCTCTTGAGTATGAGAAGACCTTCCTATCTTCCGACCTACTGCTGACTTATACTGCGATCCTAAATGGTCTGAGTGCTTTTTTTCAGTGGCCTTCAGTTGAATTTGACTGTTTTTACGGTTGTGTTTAGCTTTATTCTTAATCCTGTTGCTATAGTGTTCATTTAGAGTACTTGTATCTAAGTGCATGCACCCATGTGGCTTGTGTATATGGTAGCTAGTTTCACACATGGTGTTCTGATAACCCCCATACATAGCCTCCATATTATTTAGCACAAAGTGAATGCACAAATTAATTTTGAAAGATAGTTACTAATGGAAAATAGAAATAAAATGTAATAAATTGTGTAAAATCAGTTTAAATTTGCTTTTTAGGTATCCTTGTATCCCCCATGTGGAGCCCCAACGAATATTTCTAATTATTTTTAGCATTTTTCAACAATTGTCCATTGATCCCATGCAGCTGCACAAAAAATGTCCATGATTTACCCCGTAAAGAGACGTTGTTAGCTAATTTATTATGGTCCAAAACCCGGAAAACCCCCATAAAGACCCTTCGTTCACGGCCCGCGTTATGCGTGGCCCAATTAAACGACACTTGTTCTTGAATCAGCAGATGTTCCTCTTTCCAGCAACGGTAAAACCGTTCATCAAATTTGCCGCGTCACGGAGAAAAGGCTACTTAAAAATGACTAAAATTTAGAAAGATGAAAATTCTGTTTTCATTGGTTCTGGTAACCCCCTGGTATACCCTTTTAACTTCAATGTTGCATCTTCAATTTTTGTTTTGTAAAAAGTAGAAGACCCATGCTATGTGACAAAAAGAAACCCCCATGTTCATATCTTTATCAGAATTACCGTGGTGTCCATTGTAATTTCAGTAATTTTCAGCCATAAATTGTTAGATTTTTGAGGGTCTCAGAGGGGGGTCCCAGAACTCCATAACGAAAAATACCTGGAGGGTTTTAACTATATGGCTGTTAATAGTTTCTCATACCTATCTCACATACAAAGTATGAGCCGATTTGGCCGACCCCCCATCTTCCGGCCTCTGCCTGGTTCTGCCTGGTTTTTCTCGTGCAATGACTCTTAATTAATCCATACCACCGTACTAATTGTGAAATTACAGACCTTTCAGATGTTGTCTGGCATCCTTCTTCAGTGCTTGAAAAAGGACCCAACAGTACAGGTTTCTAAATATACAGTTTCCCAATGACTTCTGCCATTATGGTCTGTAAATTCACAATTTTGTCTAGTGGTATAGATTGATTAAAAAATGCTATTCATTTCTAAACATATCTCTAATCTTCATAAACATATGTAAAAACATGTGTATAAAATAACTTGCTTGAGGCATGACAATTTTAAGTCAGCACACAGAGCAACAAACAAGGTTAGGTCTCAAAGTGTCAACTGTCTAAGAATGAAATTGACAGAAATGAATAAGTAACACAAAACAATCTAAAAAAACTACTGTAACAGTTCATTTTTTAGTAACTGAGTAACATATACTGAAAGAAACTTTAGTCAATAAAATAAAACATCTAAAACTTTTCAAACAAGACTACTCTCTCAAGTCCACAACTCTATGTGTCCAGTAGCTTGAGAAATAGATAATCAAAATGTTAAAGTAACAGATCTGTGTATGAGGGTCTAAAATGATGCAAAGCCAAATTTGGCTTCAGCCAATTATAACATTAAAACACCTCCAAACTCACTCATTCAAACTCTCAATCCTTCAATCTAGCGTTACATAACCAATGCTTAGAAATATATCATTCATCATCCGGAGTGGCAGTACTATACATACTTTTTTAATACATGTACATGTTACATGATAGTAAAAATTTAGAACACAAATACTGTACATGTAAGTATTAATTTCACCTTACCTGGAATGACACAAACGTGTACATACATGTGTATACACATGTCATGTACATGTAGCTGTAGGATAGCCAGTATTGAAACTTACATCAGACATTACAATTGTGTACATGTTGAACTTCCTTTCTCTGTCTACAACACCAAACTGGACAAAGTGCTTTTTGTTGAGCTACATGTACATTGTGAATCTCAATAAAACTCTGATATGTTCTGTCTTCAGGTTGACTTGTGTTTTGTTAAGTCATTGTTCTTGATTCTTCAGGGAGTTACTTACTGACATTGCTTAATTCGATGAATCAGTCGGGCAATCTGTAGCTTTCCTGTATGGTGCTTTGGGTTTGCAATACAGAATACTTACTAATATTTAAAATCAGCAATACAATGAAAGAATTGTATCATATCAAGTTCATATATAATCTACATGTGCATGTGCATAGAGACGATGATGTTAATCTTCTGGACTATTTCTGGAGTTGTATTAGACTAAGTCTTACACCAACACAACACAACACAACATTCTTTGGATTGTCATGATTGATATGACACAGTAAAAAGAAACAAGATTTTAGATAAATTGACAAAAAAATATAGTCACCACTTAATAGACCTTGCTGTAAACAATATGCAACATACCAGTATATTGTAAATCCAGAGGTGGAAGAAAATGTAACGTGTATACTGTAGTACTCAAATGTCACTTTGAACATTGAACCACAGTGTCTCACTTTTGTTACTTGTCATACACCTGAATAGAGGAACAGCAATACTCTTGCTAATTTAACGTCATACATTTGTATTTATAAGACCCAGCAGTATTCTATTATAGTTCATCTTTTCATACACCAAGCATCTAGTATATATGACCAAGGGATATTAATGCTCTGTTCTTGTTCAGCTGTCATACAGCTGTATATCAGAAGACAGCAATCACCTTTTATATAGCTGTCACACACTATGTCCTGTACAAAGGACAGCGACATCCCATTGTTGTTACCAGCTGCACATAGATGCAACTTCAAGCTACACTAGAGTCCCCCACACGTCCATATCCAGGGTTGTTGAAGTTTTGAGTGGAGCTACTGCGACTGGGGACCACCAGGCCGACATTGTCATAGCCACTTGTGCTGCTGTCTCCTAACGTCTCACCCTCACCAAACGGTGACTCAAACACTGTCGGGCCCGTCTTGGAACCGAAGGTCAACGGTGTGTAACCTTCATCATCCTACAGGAACAGTACAGATATGTTATGGATAAAGTCACTTGTGCACATGTACAAGAGATAGGAGAGGTAGATGATTGAGATAAGAACTTTGTTGGTTAAAGACACATAGTCTATTTGTATATGCGTTGCAGTATTTTGACATACCAGTAGGCCAGAATGTACCTCAATCAACCTGAATGGTTAATATTCACAAGGGGGTATAAAATGTACTTGAGCCCTAGGCCCTAAGACTTATGATGCACCAAGTACACTCTAGTCCCTCCTAGCCTGGACACTGATCATTGCTGAGGTACATCCTATAGCCTCAGGTGAGACCGTTGTAATAACTTGTATGTAGAATTATTGAATACGAATTTTTGTATTGATCGAATACACATTGCTGAGTGTATGCTGCTCATCTTGAGATGATAGGTTGGACAAGATCTTATCATGTGTGAGACATTAAAGAGTAAACATTACATTATACATGTAAGTGAGACAAGGTCAAGGTCAAAGTAAATCCTTGATGATAAGTAGACATTAGCATTGCCAAAGATAGCAAGGTATTCAAAAGAAAAACAGAATAAAAGATTACTAGGAGCAAAAAATCAACAGTTGTCAAATTGCAGATTCAACTGAAACATACATGTTACATACATGTGTGTATGCCACAATGTGATTATGTTCTAATTTTTCATGTTCTCTATACCTATACCTTTATGTGATAAAATATTATGTTACACAGTCAGGTTTGTGTGTGGTACCATGTTACAAGTGTGGTTATTCAAACCTAATGGGTAATGAACCAAGTTATCACATTCCTCAGAGTTGTAACTGTAAGGAGGCTGTGTTATATTTTTCAAACCTACCAATGAATTGTGGAAGTCCTGCATGAGAGATTGCAAGACCTGAGTGGATAGAACATACCAAACCACAATTTTCAGCTGAAAACTAAACGAGTCTCATATAACTTGAGTTTTTGAAGATTGATGAAAATAGCATGCATCAGTTACATTATCTTCATACATGATTTCATCACACATAATCGCATGGAAAAAACACAGTGTCACATAATGTAAAGCAAGATGACCTCACATTATCACCTGTGCACATTTTCTAACAACTGGCATTAGAGTAATGTGGTTACATTACAGAAGATGTCAGGCACAACAACAATGTTGACATACACGTATGAGTACAAGGACAAACATGTATATCGGGCAAACATTGCAGATGATTGACAGGTATGAGAAGTTGTGAATGACTGACAGGTGTGAACTAGTGGAAAAGCCTCTCACACATCACACTTGTAGGATCTGTTATATGTAGGCCCAACAATTTACAGGGTGCAAAATTATATATTCCGTCCTGCGCCGTCCTATGCGTGGTGCTTGTCAATCGCCCAGGACACTTTTTTGTTTAACACATATCAACTGCGGCTCGACCCATTGTGTGCAACAGCTGCGGCCCGCTGCCAAATGGCTGCAGCGCAATGTGTCACATACAAAAATGTATGGTGAACCCTATCGCTTCAGTTGAACGTTTGAGTACAAGATCCCTGATCCTTTTTGAAATTTTAGTAAATTGGGGAATTATTTAATACATGTATCTACAGACAACAAAATTGTGTTTCATATACAAAAACAATGATTGTTGGAAAAGCATATTATGCATTGATGTGTTTTGTGTATACACATTTTGTAATTTATCTAAATAAAAACAATATTTTTTACTTGTTCTATGTCTCTACAATGTAATAAATTGTATTTACAAAGCACTCCTTTATGCCTGCTGTGAAAACTGACTCACCTGTGTGATGGCAGTGCCACCTGCTGAGCTTAAAGTGCACTGAAGTTCATTCTCTTCCCCATACATTGGGTTGTTGAAGGATCCCAGCTCCTCGCTTCTGTCACCTCTTGCAGACAGGGCTTGCTTGTGCTTGTTAAGACAAGACCTGTAAAGACATATTGAAATAAGCTCCCTGAATTATAAACTTAAGGTTGTTGCCATTTGAACATAACAATGCCAACTCTCATAATTCCACCTAAGACCCCCACAATGAAAAAATCTATCTGTAGTATCTGTAAAAAAACACAAGCCTTTGTGAAGTAATCATGGTGTTTGCGGTGTGAGCTGAATGTTTGGTACCTTCTTTCACACCTACATGCCAAACTTAAGACAAATCCATCAAAAGCATCTTGATTCATAGGAGCCAAGGCAGACACAGATAAAAGTTGTTCAAAGTATGAATTTCAGAGAAGACTATCATGATAGCTTTCCCTAATAGATTGTATAAATGAGGCATATGAATTCAGTTGACTTTAGTTAGCATTCTGTGGCTGAGCAGATATTGATAGACTATGGAAACACAGCCTGCTTTTGTGTTGTACACAAATGGCTGAAATGTAAAAAAAATTCTTGCACCTACATGTACATATGTTCAAAATAAGTTGCACATGTCAATCTGAATGAAGGTTTTTAGATTCAGAATATTTATTGTTTGGGTACCAAAATTCTACAATACTCACCTTCAATGACATTGAATGGGGTCTAAACTCAATACTAGTAGCCACTAAAACCATTTCATAGACTAGACCACATTTAGTACATGTACATTCAAGTCACATCACAAGCAGGTAATTTTACCTGAGGTAGTAGAGGATGACCATCCCCACAATGACCAGCACAATCAGCACGGATACAGCCACAGCGATGGACACGGTCTGGTTCTTCTCTCCTGTACGCAAATTGGTCAAGATCTGGGTTACATTCAGCAGGCCTGGATTCCAAACATCCATGTCTCTTACTCACTGGAAAATGTCTTGTGGTGAAGCTAAGCAGCAGAGTTTGTGTCTTCAGCAAACAAATGCTTATAGTATGAAACTACTTTCTACATCAGTTAGAGCAATGCACAACAGCACCATGGAAGAGCATCAGACTGAATGCTGAGAAATATCTCTGGAGAAGATCACATTTGTTTAACATCATCCTTACTGAATATATGCATCAACACAGCCATCCAACCACATCATTTTAATGAATGAATCACTGAATCCCTGGCAACCTAATAAAGTCAGTGTGCTGATCAAAAGGCCCATTCTGATCATCTCAGTCTTGCCCTTTTGTCATTGACGGTTACCAAGGGAACGTTATTAGTTCATGGAGCCAACCCATCCCATAGGGGGCCCCTAATCAGCCTTGTTATGAAGACCATGGTTCACCACAGACAAGACCAATTATCATTTCTGCTTCATTCCTACCATGATACCGGTTGAATCAACCTATCTTCAAGTCAACGGGCCTCTTAATAACAAAAAATTCAAGTTTGATATTTTCAACCATAGGTTCTCTCATCTGCCCATGCTGTGGCAGCCACTTTCCTGCCTTCATCAGGGCAGTCTGACAGCTGCTGCAGATTGCCATGGTAAGAATGATTTCCGTCTCCTTCTGTCCTGGTTCATGACTGATGTGTTTTTTCTGCCCCTAATTGCTCCTCTGTGTGTGCAACAATAATTGTCCAGTCCACAACCTCGGCCCCTCCCGGTGGCAGCAGCTGTCAGTTAGCCCTGATTAAGGCTACAAACCAGTTGATTGGCAGGTAACAGAACCATGCTAATCAACAGTGAAAAAAGAATTAACTTAATCTATACTGCATATACAACAGCTCTTGGATTTCTCATTTTTTCCTAGTATGGCCTGGGAGATTTTTTTATCAAATACATGAAATGTAACTCAATTTACAATACTCAGAGTCAATTTACTTTGAAAAAATATATTCCAAGTTTGCTTCATGGAAAGGGGGAATAAATGAAGAGTAGTAAACTTTTGTACATGTACATGGCTATGAATGATAGTGCAAGGTTTTCTGTGCAGTGAAATCAAGCCTTACCTTTCCCAGTGGAGGGACTGTTGTTTCCAATGATGTTGGAACTCTGACACCTGGTACCAATCCAGTCAGAGGTACATCTACAGACAAAAGATGTGCAATCTCATCATCACATTCAGTCATAAAACCAACACGATAAGTTTCAACATTTACTGTAGTATATCTTTATACAATCATGTTTAGAGCCTACAATGCATATTGACAATCAGGGGCTATAGAAGCTTCTGTCATCACTACTGTGTGCATAGATCAAATCTTGCCTCCAGACTTACTTGCAGTAATACGAAATGTGGTCTGACTCTAACTTCAACATGAAGCAGCGCCCGCCGTTCAGACAGTAGCCCTTGTGACTGGCACCGCAGGGCAGTTCCCGGGACGGCCCCTTTGTGGTAACTGGTCGCATGCTTGTGGTGGACTCAAGAGGAACAGGAGGGGAAACAGTGGTTGTTGTGGCTTTAGTGGATGGCTGACCAATGGTTGTTGGGGTGGGAGGACTGTCTGCTTTGGCTGGAGTGTTGGGGGTAGGTGTAGGTGGGATAGTCGGGAGAACTGCAGCTGATGTTTGAGGTACTGGTGGTGTTTGTGGGACAGATGTGGAAGTTGTGCTGATTGACGGTGAACTTGAGCCCTGGTGGTAGGTTGGAGTTATTCTGCTCATGTTTACGGGACTTGGTGATGTCGAAATCTTGGACTCTGAGTCAGCAGCTGAAAAGGATAGGGAGAAAGAAAAGTTGTTAGTGTGATGAAATACGCATGATCAAGTTATTGATAAGAATTATTACCTCTGTTATTAACAGTGTTAACACAGCGATTATCTCACACAAGACAGGACTGGACCTCCCAAATTAATGGCACTGTCCATAGTACTGAAGTATGAGCTGCTTCATCCATTGGAAATGACCTGATCATGTGAGGGTTTCCAGCGAGAACATCTTTGGTTGTTGTTTAAAGGAATACAGTCTTTGCTTATAGATAAAACTAACAGCCTGAGAGTAGCAATGAATATAAGGTGAAGTGCAGCCAACATTTATCTAAACAACATGAAGGCAGAGCTAACCTTGAGTAGAGCTAAATGTTGAACAAATGTGAAAAAATATTTTGTCTCCTGTCAGTGATAGGGAATGGTCCTGTACTTTTTCTCTGCCTGTTTAACCTACCCCCTGCTGCCTAACCCCATAGTCAATACAAATTTGGTGCAAAATGGCTACCTTAGCAGGCTGGAGATTAACGCCAGGCATGTATTTATACATATAGAATATGCTGCTCAAATCGTACCCTGAGTAGTGGCATTGACAGTGTTTGACTCCACCACTGCAATGGACAGGTCTGGAGTCACAATGGCTGCCATCAGAGAGAACATGTAGACAGTACCAGGGGTAAGGTCTGGCACAGTCAGGGTTGTTGTGTTCCCATTCACCTTCTCCTCATGTGTTTGGCCTGTAGCTCAAAACATGACATCTTCTTAACCAGAAGGTTTGCCATTGGATGCAAATATATCTGCCAACCTTACAAATCTATCCATGTAAAGTATGATACCCAGCCACCGTTACTTGTGCAATATTATCAGCAAAGCAGGTGGCATTTGAAAACAGATACATCCTCACCTCCTGAGGGATGGTACAGTACAGTGTATGCCACGACAGCCACGTGAAACATGTCAGGACGGGTCCAAGTCAAGTGCACCTCAGTTGGCCCCAACGTGATGGCTTCCAGCATGAAGCTGATGTTCTGAATGCGTTCTGAGGTGGTGGAACACAGTGACAAGTAGTCATCAATCATACCTGCACATTCTTTCATATCCTCTGTGACTTTTTACTCAAGCATGAGACAACACTGAAAAATGTTGCAGTGCTGAGAAAGTCAGTTAGGTGTCACTTCTTACCATATCCAGTTGTGGCCTGCACAATGTCAGAAGGTACACCAGTCCCATTGGAATTTTGAGCGGCCACCTGGAAATGGTAGGTGGTGTCTTCCTGCAAGTGGTGAACTACAGCTGTGTTGTCGGCTGCAGCTGCAGAGACTTCCAGCTACACATAAAAAACACAACAAGTATGATGTTTTTAAAAAAACACAGGCGACGATTTTGTGTTTAACTGTTCCGTTCTTTATAAATCGTTTTTTTTTTCAAATACGTACACATATAATTCAGAAAGAATCCAGAATTTCTGTACAGTACGAGGAAAGCCGTCAGGGGTCCAAAATCAGTTAGACCCAGGTAAATTTATGTTGTGTTTCTAGCCCTTGAAAAATTAGAATCGCTAGATAGGGATTCACCTTTTTTATCTGTCTTTTGTTTTTTTCATAGATCTTTATAATTAGTGATCCAACTAATACAGTTAATATAACAATGAAATGTATAAGTACACTGGTATCTTTAACACCACCCTAATTTCGCCCCTAGAGATATAATAGTGAAACGCCGTCTTGGGATTACCGTAAATTCCCGATAGTACGCACCCCTTGTGCTTCTGTGCATGTAGCATGTATGTCTTAAAAACAGTAGCCTAGGCGATCGGTGCGAAAATTGCTCAAATGGTGATAAAAGCATGAAACTTGGCACAAATGTTCTACACGACACTAGAAACAATTTCAGGGGTGGAGCCATCGCGAACTGTCCTTTGCCTAGCAACTGTTGCTAGGCAACATGCTTTTCCAAGAAAACAATGTATTAGGAAGCTAGTACCTGCTAATTGTGCCTGAAAACCAATTATAATGTGCAAAAAAATGAGGTGTTTTACTGTATCTGACATCACTTTTTATATCAAAATAAATTTTGAGCCGTTGTAAAGCACAATGCGCTTCGAAAAGCTGATACTTTTTGGAATTTTTAGTAGAAAAGTGTAGAAATTAAATGTTATAATCATGCATATTTTCTCGTTACCTATGGGGCATTGAAAGGTATATTTGATTGATAGAGCTGAACATTCTCTGAATGGTAAACTTTAAATTTCAAAAATCCATCAGTTCTATCAGGAGATATAAGTGTTTGAAGAATAACACAATCCAAGACTTAAATCAGTAGATTGGTTGCTATGGCCGTTGCTAGGGACGGCTTGGGCTGTGGTCTGCACAGGAATAGATGCTAAAATTTTATTTTTCTGCCAGCTTTGCGTTGTTTGTGTGTACAGAAATGCAGGTAAGAGATGCCTGGTGTCTGCATATAAAAATGACGCAATATTTCTCTATTACAAGAGGATTTTCACAAAAACGCTGAAGCGCTGTTAAGGTTGTTGGTACGAACGCGTTTGCAGTACTCACAACACGTTGTACTTGTAGTCCATGGGCCAGAGGAGATATCGGTACCACCTGAGGTGGCAACTTCTCATCATGGTTTTTGAAAAGAAGGGTGTCTGTGGAATACTTTTTGATATGATAGCCGTTGCACATTGGTAGCTTTGACCTTGCTATCTCACCTTGAACTTTGACCTCATATGAACCGCTTCCTTTTGCACTTATGATGCAAAGGGGAGTGGTAAATAATCAAATATGGATATTTTTCTATGTAACTTCATGGATTGATAAAACAGGAACTAAGGATTACAAAAATGTTAATTTTGTTTCGATATGTCACTTCTACAAGAAGTTATGAGGTTTCGAAATTCAAATTTTTTGTAAAAATTGGTAAAAAAATAGAATGTTTACTTTTCAAAACCTGTCAAATATTCAGATTACATATTTGAGCCTGCTGCATGCATTCATCGGACTTTTTGTATCATTTCCTACATTTCAAGATTGAAATCATAAAAATCCGTCAATTCTATCCGGAAATATGAGTGTCTAAAAGTTCTACTCCCAAAGGCCTTCTGTGGGGAAAACCGTTGCTAGGGCCGTCGCTAAGGAGGCACTTGGTTGCTTTCCCAGCAAAATGGAGTGCACACCATATGGAAAACTTGAAGAAAACTTCTATTGGAGGAAAATTTGTAATTTAGAGGGCCTTGGAAATCTGTATTATGTTTCTATGGTAACCGTTGCTAGGGAAAATATACCTCCCTAGCAACGCAGGAGATAGTACTTTTAAATGGTTTCATAAATGGCAATGGAGGGAGACTTATGGGGAAATGTCTATTTCCTGACCATTTTGAGTGAAGTATCTTTAGTGTATGCATAGAGGAATCTCATTTTGTCTCCAGTTTTGTGGCATTTGGAGCTATTTTTGACTAAAAATGTAGATTTTGGCTCCTGTTACACAACAGTTGAAGAAATTTTGCTGAGATTCGGTACAAACATGTAATTTAATAACTGCCACGGCAGCCAAGCATTGGATTACTTAGTTGTTCTGAATACAAAATGGTATTTTTTTGTTATTTCTGCCCAGAAATGTACATTTCTGGCTCATGCGTGATAATGTCGGTTGCAACAATGCTGAAATTTACCATCAGCAGGTGACATATTCAATCTTACACATACGATGTAGAATACTCCATTGCTGTCGAAAGTCAAATTCATGAATTTGAAAATACTTTCACTACTAAGTTGATTAATTTACTCCAAAAGTCTGATAGAACTTACATAAATCACAGTGCTTAGTAAAAATTAAAATAGATGTACGAGGCGGGGGGGGGTCCTAACATCACACACTCTTACACGTGCTCAAACTCTCAACGCTTCAGTGCTAGTTGACGTATGAGAGTGGTCAATTTTTGATGATGAAGTTTGAAAACATCTAATGACATGTTAAGAAAATACATGTTTGTACTTAGATAAGATTAGATTACATTAGATTAGATTAGATAAGAATAAATGATTAGTACTGAATATGAGTCCTTCACGACCAAACACTGTGAATGTGCACTTCAGAATCTGTAATTTGCTCTCTTGGCAATGAATGCAAACAGAAATGATAATTGATTTGTATTATACTGAACTAACACTCAGAGACCCAATTTTCTTTACTGTTTTGTATGAAGTTATGTTCTTTTGTTTGATTCTTTGTGGTAGTATCAGAAGGGTACATATTCGGTTTGGGCTTGGTGGTGAAAAGGTGGTCTGTGTGTAGGTCAGCGTCAAAACTCGAAAAGTTGTGGATGGATCTTTTTGATATTTGGTATGTGGGTAGCTGTTGTAGAATGACGATCAACTTCAAAAATGGTTTATTGGTTTAGTGCAGTAGGCTTTTTATGCATATTTGTTGATTGTATGTTTGAAAAAATCTGAATCTCCAAAATACTAAAATTTTGGCCTCAACAGTTGAAGAAAGTCCCATCTCTTCAGAGTTGTTACAGTTTTTCCAGCTATCAATGCAGTGGTTTGATTAAAAGTTTGAAATGCATTGTTTGAATTACAAACCAGCCGAGCATGTTGACTTCATGGCTCCTATCATAGCATTTGTGTGTATTACAGGATGCCTATGTATGTTCCTACGTTGCTGTAGAGAACATTGGATGGTTTGACATTTAGTGGATGGATGGTGGCAGCCAAAATGAAGGTTTAGTTCGATAACAGGCTTCCTAGCGGCTATGCAAGAATACTAGTTGTTGGTAAAATTCTGACAAAATGGCGATGGTAAGTAAACAAGCACCAAATTGAATATACATGAAAATAACAGCTATATGCAATGACTATGTTTATTCACCTTTTTAAATAGCAAATCCTTGGGCAACAAACACAACGTATGCATAATAAGGCCACACCAATTTAATTTGTTGGTTCTCGGATTCGCCTCTTCGTTTTTTTCTGATTTGCAAAAAAAAAATTGATTCTGATCCTGAATCAACTGAAAAATGCTCATATTTTGCCCCCAACAGTTAGGAAAGTCCTTTTCTTCCTAGTTGTTACAGTTTTCCCATCTATCATTGCAGTGGTTTGATTAAAAGTTCAAAATTCAATGTTTAAATTTTAACCCAGCCTTTTGTGTTGACTTCATTGCTCATTTTGTAGCATTTAAGCCTATAATGGGATGCCTAGACCTGTTTTTATTTTATTTTTTTTCGCCCTGTCGCTTCATATTTTTTCTGAAAAAATCCGAGAACCAACAAATTAAATTGGTGTGGCCTAAGATTGGTAAAAAAATCCATGTGAAGTTAGGGTACCCCCATTATATTTTTGTAGTAGTTGTGATTGATTTGCAAAAAAAAAGAATTCTTAATCTTTTTCAGTTTCCCCATCATACCTATAATGTATTTTGAGCATCATACTGCAGTGATAATATGCTGAAATAAAAACAGAATAAGCGTTATAACCAATGATGTGATATGGTGCTTTCTGATTGGTCAACATCACTTGGCTATATGACAATATGTTGACAATACCATATCATATTGTTCTTTCTAATCATCATCATCCCTAGACGTATGCTCATAGACAACTCCTCCTCGAATGGAGGCCTTTGTGGACGAACCTGCCTGGGGCTAAAGAATCATGCCCAGAGCTGTTGCAGTGCAGGTGTAGGACCCGGTGTGAAGACTGTAAATGTGCACAAGCACAACTGAAATGTACCATGTACTGCACTTGCAAGGGGGATTGTAACAATGCATAAAGGAATATAATATCATGTTAATAATATAACGTAAAATATGTCGATTTACTAATCTTAGGACGTCATTTTAACTCGACTTGTAGCATTAATTGAATTTGTATATCTATGTATTAGCCAAGCTATCCCATACAGAAAATTGGGTTATTTGGCCGTCATATAGTTATACAGAAGCCAATAATATACATTTTTGCTTATTATTTACCCAGAATAAGCTAAATCATAAAATTTTTCAGGCATGAATCTAAAACATAAAATTCTTTAACAATTATTGCGCATAAAACCAAGCTATCCTCATGCCAAATTTCATGTCGTTGGACCTTAATATAGTGGCACAAAAGCCAAAATGTACAGACCACAACCCAAAAATTAAGCCGTCCCTAGCAACGGCCATAGCAACCAATCTACTGTGGATGTGTTATTCTTCAAACACTTATATCTCCTGATAGAACTGATGGATTTTTGAAATTTAAAGTTTACCATTCAGAGAATGTTCAGCTCTATCAACCAAATATGCTTTTCAAGGCCCCATAGGTAACGAGAAAATATGCAGCCTATGAAATCTAATCCATACACTTTTCGACTTATAATTCCCCCAAAAACCAGCCTTTTAATGGTGAGTTTTGTTTTAGAATGGCTTAAGATTGACTTAAACATACAAAGTGATGTCAGATACAGCAATACACCTCATTTTTGCACAATATATTTGGTTTTTAGGCACACATAGAAGGTAATAATACTGTTTTGTTGGAAAAACAAGTTGCCTAGCAACCGTTGCTAAGTAACACACTTTTTGCAATGGCTCCACCCCTGAAAATGTTAATTAGGTACTCATGCTTCAGCATGCCAAGTCTCATGCTTTTATCACAAACTGAGCAATTCTACCCATATTTTGCACCGATCGCCTAGACTACAGTTAGTTCTAGAAAATATCCCAAAAAACAGTTACTCAAGCAACTGGATATGATTTTGAAAACGTCAGACGTTTCAGCTAGTATCCACTAGCTTTCGTCAGTGACTGAGAGACCAGAGGGGAAAGCAGGTTTATATACACAACCTGTTGATTGATATGACAAATAAAGTGAAGACTAAATTTTTAGGAAGTACGAAAAAGGAACAAAAGTCAGACAAGTCAAGACAAGATGATGCAAATTAGTCTGAAAGCTCCTGTTATACAGGACAGGAGCTTAAGTGTTGTCTGTCCTCGGGGCTGGGAGTGCCAAATCCCAAGTGCCGGAAAGATCGACCTTACCGCTTAAAGTAAGGTACAAAGAACATTGCCGACCTAGTGCCAACGGCTACTCCTCAGTTATTTTCCACCACCTACAACACAACCNTTTTTGGATCGTAATATCCTCAAACGTGGGCGGGCTGAGCACTCATCACTGTATACGTAGAGAAATTAGTCGGGAAGTTTGCCATTGTCTGGCTACCAGGCTACTAGTATTTTGGCCGACAATCGCCCGTTTGTTTGTATTTCATGACAGTTCCTTCACCCAGTCGCTATTTCCTTGTGTACGAGACTAGTATGTACTTTGTGTTCTGTATATGTATATGTAGTAAACTTTCCTCCATTTCTGCTCGAAATTCTTTGTATCTTTCAAGCAGACTTTTTCGAGATTTCTACAATTTTTTCTATGTTATTCTGGTGTTCTTGGATCTCGCTGTGTTGTCGTCCCCCGGGTATTTCCTTATTGTGGATCTGAATGGGTCATCACTATATGTGTGACGCTATTTACGTACAGTTTCCGACAAAGATTCAGACCTATAATGCCAAAGAAGAACAGTTCTACTAACCTTGGAAAAACTGAGCCTCAGAGTAGAGAACTAGAATAAATTTTCGCCTTCGATGAGGCGCGCCTGTTATAACTCGCAGTGGTTTGGGGAAATTTTGGTGAGTTCGCTTTTACGATAAGAATTACAAATTATTGTTTACGGATTCGATGCCCGCGCAGAATATCGATCATAGTCAGCGTAACTTGAACGTTTTATTTGTGTGATGTTCGCAAAGTACTTGGTTGTGTCTTCAAAGTTCCGGTGTCAGAATTTGGGTGTTGTTATATCGATACATCATTGTTGATCACTGAGTTAGAGAAAGTTTAAAGTTGCTTGTTGGCTGGTTACAACACGTGTGGAGAGAAGCTGGAATTTTAGTTTACGCATTGAAAATGTGTGCCACATGGTTACCGCATTCTCCCACGGCAGAGCTATCCCGCGGCAAATACGCCTTGGGATTACTGGTAAGGAAGCACCCCTGGCGTGGGAGGATGGGTTACCGCCACATGACGTCAAGTTCCATCGGGATCAAGTTTGTCGGCCCTACTTGATATTCTCCCCTTTCCGACAAAACCTTTCTGTTCAGATTAGTGGCTTATGGATATTTTGCAGGCCCAACCATACTCTGCTGAAATGCCAGATCTTTCCAGCTGGCCTTTCTAATCATTGTCGTCCTGTAACTGACCCGGTAAAATACCCCTGCATGAAATACCTCTGGGCGGGCGGGCAGTGCTGATAGCACCACCGTGAGATACCGGAAGCATGCGATGGTCTGGCTGCCAGGCTATGTTAAAGTAATTTAGCATTCTTGGAGTTTATATTCGTCTGTTAGTATAATACCTGATGAATTTATTTTTGGAAATTTGTACTGTGAAGATTCTAACACCCGTTTTCCTGACTTCATTCATCTTGTTCTATGTGTGGTTTGTTCCGTCCATTTTGCTTACAGAATTTGGTCAGTATATCATTACAGATCCGACTGGTCTTTATCAGGTATCGGCGATCAGTGTTTTAGCAAGGAGGTATTTAACGTCCTTGGTTTTAGTGAATTTTTTTTAATAGCTGCTCGTTTTTAGCGGCTGGTTTTTTGGTTTATGTAAAGTTTGAGCCACCTGACGCCATGTTCCGCCGGGGTTTTCCGGCCTTACCCCAATTCTCTCCGTCAAGGCTCTTCTGTCCAGTAACCCCGGGCGTTGGATTTTCTTGTCTTTCCAGGAAACCTCAGACATGCAGCGAGGGATACCCTACTGTTCTACACTGGACACCGGTGCCGGCATATATGCCCTGTCTGCGCTAAACTGCCCGCACCTGCCAACGACGCAGGGTTCCGAACAGTGGAGACCATCTCAGTGCACGGAGAAGGTTTCAGTACGTTGTATACTCTTCTCTAGGTCAACGTCATTTTTTTTACTATTCACACAATTACAACTTGATATTGATCCGCGTATTCTTTGCATTACATGTTGCTGACATCCCACCATAATATTGTCCAAGTTTCACATCCGTGGTCACGCTGAACGCTGTCGAACTATGCTGAATAACACAACCCTGGAATGCAACAAACTTCGCTAATAACCTGTTCTACGCTGTTTCTTTCAGCTCTACATGGCGACAAACACAACGGTTACTCAAGAATACAATTAAGAAGTGGAACAAAATACCAGGTGAGTGCCTGACCATCCTTATTTCATGCAGTATTGTACATATAATAATCACGATGGTTAGGCAATGTTCGCATATCTATAGTACTTCTTTCATGAAAAGCTGTGTGTTTTGAAACACGGTACCATGTTTACTATGATGTCATTGCTGGGAAAACAATGTAGCCTGGGTGCCAGGCCCCTGTGCCACCATAGTCAATAAAGTCAGGGAAATCTCACGCCTGGAACACAGAATTTGCAGCCGCGCGGGGTCTAATTTATACGTCTAGATAAACTGAAGAAGGAAGCCAGCTCCGAAACTGTGGCGTGTTGGGCAGTATAGAGGCCCGATCGAGAGTCTCAGAAAAAAGCACTTGCATTTTCAGGCTATTGCCAGAAAATGTGTTATAGATGTGTCTGCTTCATTGCATTCTGTAAAATTAATCGACTCACATGCTTTGCATATTTACATTTATGACCCCAAATCTTGTTAATTTAATTTAAGTTAATCAAAGCTGGCCAAAGTTGGCATAGATTCATTTATGCTCTTTTCTCTCTTTATACCCACAGGTAAACTTCGCCATGTCCACCCTGAGATGCAGACTACAACAGGAATTCACTGGCTAGCATGAAACCTAGTCGTGGAAGGCTTGGGGTGTGCATTCATGTTTTGCAGCCAAGAAAATTGAAAAACAAGCATGGAATGCAACAGCATCATGGAAGCAAAGAAAATAAAAACTAAAAAAGCAAGACTGACACAAACATACATGATAGAAAACACACAAGTGAATAAAATTTCTTACACAAAACATCAATGTTACACTACATGTGTCACACAGTAAAGTTATAAAAAAACGACCAGCATCATATAGTTGAAACTAAAAACATATTTGAAGTATTATAAGCTTGAATATGCTGCTCCTGAGCAAGAAATTTGTTCTCTCTTGATAGAAGAAAACATATTTGAAATATCAATAAAGACAATCATTAACATTCTGTGTGCAAAAAGCCACAGTATGCCTGAAAAGGTGCCATTTTCATGCATGGTAACATAGGCCTTTCCTGCTTTTTCCGATGACCACAAGGCCGGAGGCTACCTCAAAACCAATTCCCTAGGGAATGCATTCGTGCAATTTTTGAAATTCTTTCAAAGCGATCGCAGTACTTACACAAATGCCTCCGCCCCTGAGGCGTCGCCAAAAATGTCTTGTTACCCACATATGTTGTTTGTGGCACAGCTTATTTACAAACTCAGGTGGGGTAGCGTGCCACCTACCGGTAGTTTTGGGACAAAAATTGCTAGTGACATTTCTACCATGGGGTGCAGCAGGGAATCAGCACCAGAAGCTAAACAAAGGGTTTCAGTTTCAGTTAAAAGCCTTGAAGAATTGGAATGATATCTACCATCCCAGTGTGAGCCTGCAGTTCTGCTGTGTTCCAGTAGGTGATGATGTAGATGGTGACAGTGCCAGGTCTCTGTTCCGGCGGGTCCCAAGACAACAGCACAGACAAGGGAGTGAACTGCACTGCTTGCACATTCCTGGGTCTACCAGGCAATCCAATACCATCCACATCTCCTGGAAATATCATGAAGTTCTTGAAATATTTGGAGCAGTTTTGATTTCTTGATGTACTCATGATATTTGGCATAAGGGGAAATTTGATTCTGTCTCGTTTGCAGTCATTGTTACATGTTACAATGTTCAACCTTATGTGTAATTAGAATAAGACTATTAAATTTTCAAACTGAAAATGTACATTTTAGGTCTGAGCAATGTATAAAATACATGTATTGTAGTGTATTAATGACTTGAACTTACCTGCAGTGGTTTGTACCACTGGTTCAGAAGGCAGACTGGTGCCATTTGGACTCCTGGCTGCTACCTGGAACTGGTACGTGGCATTCGGAACCAAGCTGCCCAGGACAACAGACATTCCATTTGTTGCAAGATGTGTGGTCTGTGGAAACAAATGGACACCAACTTCAGATTCTACTTAATATAGTTTTCTCTTTTATGGAATACAAGTGCTGTAATGTTAATTTTATGTCCTTTGTAACAAACAGTGAGCAAAACCATAAATTCCGGTTATGGATTTGGAAGAATTGTTTTGGGCGGGTTGTGTGTATAATTGTCAACATGTAGGTTGACAGCATGTGGGTGGTTGGAAGATTGACAGGTGGTCAAAAGGTCAGGCACAGGAAATGGGGTCCCAGAATCTGGCATACATGAAGGAATTCAGGAAGTCAAAGATTGCATAGGAACCCCCTCATCAATCCTGCACAGTTTCTGTCCTTGTCCTGGTTAATTGATATGTGATACAATCTCCTCAGTTGTTCTGATAAATTCACTTCAAGTCTGAAATCCTGATATCTTGTTACAGTACAGGTATAACACCATGTCCAAACAACAGTCTGTAAATATGCTGACCTGCTGGAAGGTATTGGTCCCGTATGCCAGGTAACGCACCACATACTCCGTGACGTCAGCCGCGTGCAACACAGGAGGCAGCCACGTCAGCCTGATGGACGTTGAGGACACTGTCTCTGCTGTCAGGTTTCTGGGAGAACTGGGAGCTACATGTACATGTAGAGGGTGATATCATTGAAGAGAGATATATCTTAAGGCCATTACGGCCTAGCAAAAGTGTACTCCATACTAACCTATACTTTATCTGCACCATACATCTTGTTACTTGTATACAGCTACTCAGTTCTTCAAGGACCTAATTCAATGTTATGGTTAAGCAAAAGGGACTGATCATTATAAATTAATTACCTGAAATGGAGGTAGTGTTTTCTGTGTGTTTGCTCTAATGTGTCCATACAGTTGAGTAACAGCATGTGAGTGGGGGAATCACTAGTCATGCAGTATAATATGAACACTCGAATTTCTTTTTTAGATTAGTTGTGAGCCTTACACAAATGTGAGAGGTGACTCTGTTACTTACCTGATGTTTCCATAGGCCCAGCTGTAGTAGATATCATTGGTGGTAAAGTGGATATATGCACATCATCTGTAAGTCAACATCATTCATGAAATTAGACAAACATTTTAATCAATGAGTTACAGAGTTACAGTTTATGTACTAGAAGATTTTTAGAAGTCAATTTTCAAAATATACCCAGTTGCTTGAATAACTGCATGTTATCTCAGTAGGTTCAACTTTCTTTGTCAAAACATGGCCAAAACAATGACTTTTTGATTGCTATGATTCTACTGTAAGGACCTTAAAATGCTGTTATATAGTAATTATAGATCAATAGAAACCACACCAGTAGGGGGCATTTGTATGCATGTAGTGAGGTCCTGAATATGTGGGACACAGGGGAGGTGTGAGCTGTCCATGTTCAGCGTGTCCCCAGAACAGAAGCCCAGGCACACGTCTGGCACACTCCTCTCTCTACAGCACGGGGTACGGTCCTCACCACCTGCACAGGGGAACACACAGTACTCAATGGATGACTAGACACATTAACAAACTGCAACAACCTGTTGAAAGAAAAATAAAGATCGTACACAACAAAATTCATCAAGTCTTGAAGCACTTCAAGTATATTATTTTGAGAGTTTCCTATAGGTTACATAATTTTATAGCAGTAAGGGCAATTGGAAACTGAGGGCATTCTTAGAATAGTTGTTTTTGCCCTGTAACGATCAGCTGTCTTATTACAGATATGGCTGGTGGTTGGTTCGATTACTTGCTAAACCTGCTTGAGAAATATAGAGCTTCAAAATTATACAACGGCCCATGATGAATGTAGTTTATGTCTTAATATTACAGTAACTGTCATCTGCTTTTCAAGCATACAATTATTACATTGTGATACACAACATCTTACTACATGTATAGATGTCAGACGTACCAATAAGGCAGTGAGTGACGGAAGTGAGGTGACTGTGGCATGTCACGAAGTCAAACAAGGTGATTGCTTCTGTCCTGGAGCAGAGGTGCTGGCAGTTGGCAGGCACCCCCCTCCCACTGCAGCAGCCTAAGTTATCACAGAGGTACAGATAATTGGTAATAACCGAACAGTCTACAATACTCCTGACTTTGTCCCACAAATCCAATACAATCCCCACTGGCACAGGCTACCGGCACAGGCTACCGGTAGTCATGGTTGATAAGATTTAACCCAGTATAAGATGTGTGTTTAACAATTTTTTTCTTTGTTTTATAATGTGTTTGTCGGATGAATATTTCATACCTATAAATTTGATTCTCTAGTAATGTGATTCATCAATACATGAATGTTTGATACTTCCTTAGATAAGTTAGCTATGAGCCCTTTACTATCTGAGATACTATATTATAACCAATCACATGTACCTATAATCTGTTAATCAGTCATTACAGATTCTGAAGTTGAATGACAAATCATGAGATCTGTCTTATGACTTTCACATGGTGGAGCACAATGACTTTCATATGATATAGGAGGTGCCGTTCCATGTGGCATATGTAGGGATTCAAGAATTGAACTTATTTCAAATGCATTTGGATATTTGAGTAAGTATAATTATGGATTTTGATATACATGTACGACCATTTACGAGGGTCTGCATGCCCTTTTTCGTTAACCGTTATGGGCTATTTTAATTTACCGTTAATCATTGCCGGCCCGCTCTAATTTAACGTTAAGCGTTATCAGTATATTCCTCGTGAAGCGTTATTGGTCGTTTTAATTCAACGTAAAACGTTATTTGTCATCCTAAATTCAGCGTTAAGCGTTAATGAATAATTCTTCGTTACGCCTAATTTTGCCTTTCAAAGTGCAGGAAAATGCGTCATTGAAGGTTCAAAATACAAAATTTCCCGGGGGAGAATGCCCCCGGACCCCCTACATTGCTCGCGCCTTTGGCGCTCGACTCGCGCTTCTGCGCTCGGTCCCTTCGGCTCTAGCCAGAACCAGCTTTCCTGTCAATTTCCGGAAGTTTGCGGAGAGTTACAGAATTTTTTTTCAAGAATCCGTCAACCTTGACAGGCAAATTAACAAACATCTTGAGTAAAATATGAAAACGTCAGAAGGACCGACAAACACTCTCAACACCATGATTTGCCTCTCAAAATGTGGGAATTGCGTTTTTGAAGGCTTAAAAATCCTAAATTTCCCCCGGACCCCCCTAGATTACGACGCTCCCCTCTCAAAATCCACTGGGCAGACTGAAAAAATGCAAGCTGGCCGACGTCGACTCGGACTCCCCTTTATTTGTGGACGCACTCGGGGACCAGGGCAGGTGGGAAACACAGGGAACACATACCTTTAATGCGTGCTTCATTACATGTAAGATATACGTAATTTTGTCAGTGATCACCTTTTCTCACAAAGCGAGATACCAAATCCAGTGCAGCTCGAACGAAAAAAAGTCTGTCAATTTACCGTTAAGCGTTGCCGACCGTCCTGAATTTACCGTTAAGCGTTATCGGCCCTGCTGAATTCACCGTTAACCGTTGCCAGGACCCCCCCATGCAGACCCTCATTTACTGACCATGACAAAATTTCAAGAAGAGCGCCCAGCTTGCCCACCCAGGTTTTGGTGATGATGATGAGTGTTGGCTTCTACCCAATGGTCAAGTACAAATTAAACAAACAAGATCTCCAAAAACAATAAAAACATTGGTAGTACACTCGGCTGGATACTACTGTGTATATCATCTTCAGTTTAAACAAAAGATGCAACTTAAAAATGAACAACAAGTCCAAGGACATAACGTTACATTTATTATCATAATAAAGTAGGACTGGGTGTTACACACTGAACCACTTCAAACTTGGGCAACCTGAAATGTTGATTGGAAACTTGACTTAAAAACTACATGTATTTTGAGCCCTGCCTACCTGTCAGCATGTCACCTGTTGTAGAGGATTGTGCAACCATCACTGTCCATACTGCAAAGAAAATTACATAAATGATTGTATATGTTATGGACACATCAATACCTATAATTTAGTATAAATTCATTACAGTCACCTGGATTATGGAGAAGGGAGGCATTAGCAGTGTTTAAAAATGAAATGTTTACAGTGGGCACACATAGACAACATGCAGAAAATTTGAGTGTATACTTACTCTGGTAGTTCACATTGTGATGAATGTGATTTCAAAGATTTTACAGCATACTGTCAAATTGTGTCAATTGTTTTTTGTGTATATTTTATAGCAGAAGGGACAGAAAGGCACCATATTTGCAGTGTAATGAATTGAAGGTGGAGAGGTCACCACAAAAACCACAGAAATAAAAACATTGCAAACATTTCAAGATTTACAGTATTTTATCAATAAATCTCCATGAACTGAAAAATTTGCAGTACATTCAAATGGCACTAGATAATTGACGACACAGGATTCCAAATACATGTACAAGTACCCGGATTTTCCTCAAATATCTCCAAAGGTAAAATAGTCTACTGAGCAGACCCTTCCAGCATGTAATTGCCTACGGTGTAGGCTAACAGATCTACTGACAGATAAATTAATATTGGCTTCTCATGTTATGTGGGCAGAATGCTTAAAGATAGTGCCCCAACCTCCCAGTGACAAAAAATTGCTGTGACAGTAATATTTATCATATAAGTACACAATATATACATGATATAATTCTAACATGGCTCCCTGTTCCCCCTGAACGGTTACACTGCTGCAGTCTAATTATGTTAATCATATAAATACCAAGAGAACGGTGACAACAATAACGTTTGAAATGTGACAGACAGACAACAGGAAGAATGCTGACTTTAAGCATTTGGCAAATTGATATCAAGTACATGACCATGTTCTTATTTCAATTATTCTATTAAGCCTAATCCACTCAAAAAGCATTAAGCAAAATTCTAGACTCTATTTTACGTTACACCCAACTTCAAATTTTAACCCAAACTATTTCCTTTTGTACTGTTGTGTATCTCCTGTTATGCCCCCCTCCTCGGAGTGGTCCCCAACAATGCATACGAGCGGGGCAGTGGAACTGCAAGCTATTAATTTACCACATCCAAATAAAAGCTGACCTGTGAGGAGCCACAGCGTAGGCCGGCGGTGCAGACGGCCGTGTGGAGGTGCCATGGTCCATCCCAAGTGGTACACGTACGGTTGGAGCTCACCTGCTAGGCAGCTGATCTGAAATGCAACATGGCAGACAATGTTTAGCATTACCCACACAGCCTTCACATCAATTATTCACATTTTAGAGGCAACACGGACGCGACATCAACTGTGAATTATCCGACACAGGGAAATCAGCAAATCTCAAAGGAGTCATGACATCAATCACAACAGAGGAGGCGAGCGTAAAATTAAAAATTTTCCTGCTTTATGACAAAACCCAGCCAACAGAGTCAAGGAAATCATGGTCGACAATATTACAACTGTACAAAACATCATGCAACCATACACGCTGTAAATCCTGTTACCCTTCTCCCAGTCCAGATATGGTGCTGATAACAATTAAATCTGATATGTTTAATCAAGACTATTAAGTTAGACAAGAAAGGACATGCATAGGTCTGACAGCTTTGAACAATCCTTTCAGATTGGTACAATGTGTGATGAAAAGCTAAGCCTATGTTTTTTTATTCCGATTGTCTCTGTGTCTTTCAACAGCATTAATCAAGCTTGTGGATGGATCCGTACATATTTGGTATGTGGGTAGGTGTTGGCAAAATGAAGGACAAGTTTGACTATGATCCTCCAGGTGGCTTTCAATGGTACTGCAGCAGAACTTCTAATTACCCTTTTTTTTTTTATCTCATGTTCTGGACAAGATTATCATGGTCATGACCTTTAAATGGTAGTTACATGTAGTTTTTGGTCCAAGTGGTATAGGTTTGGGCCCCCTAGCAGCTTTTTTGAACTGCAGGGGCCATACTGTATCTGTTAGAAACGTTGGAAGTGTAATAAGTCTAGAAAACATTACTGTTTTGTTATGGTTATCAAGTGTGTAGATTGCTTGTGTAAAGATTCATATATTAATATATTAATGCACCTTAAATTCTAATTTGTATGATTAATTAGAAAAGCTTATAAATGAGCTGCATTCTATGATAGGACTTTCAAGCAGTAAGAGAGGAACATAAAATAGATAGATATCAGTTATGTAAATGAATACCTCATAATCATAATCACTGCATAATCAATATGGAAATAGTAGAGTCTTGCATATTGCAATGGTATCAAAGATGGCAATGTCATGCTTCAATTATTTGGAAGTATTAAGTAAAGGCAAACATTACCTGACATGAATCATGCAAATCAGGGTCTAATTTAAATAATTAGCTTAGCATTATGCTAATGACGTCTGACTTGGTTGTTGGGGAGATAAGGTACCATTTAGCTGGAAACATCAAACCTGGAGGGCTCAGGCTGCTGCAGAAACAACCGACTGGAGGCAAGCCTTTCTTTTTGATGACGCCTTCCCCCATCCACAACCAAGGTAAATTTGTTGTTCTGACGAACCATGGAGCTATAATCTCAAAATAACGAACATATCTTAACTACATTCTCGGCAAAAGTTAGGTAACGATATCTCCTTCACCGAAATATTACACCTCGGTGTCCCCGGTGCTATTAGTGTTAAAAGGATTTCCCCCCATTGTTTCCTCTTAGGCCACACCAAGTAAATTTTATGGATGACGTCCGCGCGCGCATTGATTTTGGCCTGTTCCTAGAAAAAAAAACAAGAAATTCCGCTTCGTGTAACTATGACCAAAGAGTCACGACAGTGCCACAAATCGTCAGATTGACGTGAAACCCGTAACGCTGAAGACCATCCTGCCAATAACAGAAAACAGGACAGGACGACAACTGCTGTTCCACCTGATTTATTGCTGTTTTGATGATGAATAAAAGACTTCTTGCTTGTTACACTGTGTCACCTTATTCAATTTGTGTCCCAACATTTGTCGTCTCTTAGTATATTTGTAATCTAGGCATCTTGTTTTTTATGGCCCTTCTTGTTTTTTCTTCGCCCTCTCGCATTAGATTTAGGGTCTCCAAAGGACGTCATCCATAAAATTTACTTGGTGTGGCCTTAGCCTTTATTTGCCTCCTTCTGCAGTTCGTACCCGGGGAATTCCCCTAGAGCCTGACGACTCAACACGCGCTGAAGATGTCTAGATTACGACTGAAACCTAATTATGCCCTTGACAGATCGTGAAGTGCCGAGCAGACTTGAAGAATACACTCAGACACATTACAACGGGGACAGGAATTCAAGGCTGTTCTTCTACGATTAGAACTTTCAAGAAACTATCTGACTTGGTAACGTGGTTCCCAAAGGTAGTGGGAGGCCAGACAAGAGCGAACATGCCTTTTACTGACAAGCAGCTTGACAGCTAGCTATTAAACTGACAAGAAAACAAGTTTAAAACCTTTTTTTCTGGAACACGAAGGGCCCTAGATTACAGCATGGAGGTCCCCGCCTACTTCCTGTAATGCAAGGTGTTCCCAGCAGCAACAATGACGGTGAGATCAGGTGACAAACTTCACCGAAGCGTGCTCTATTGTCACGTGGGGGTCGAGCGCTCGCGACTGTACCACATGGCAAACAGAATGGGGGGTGGCGGTCGATTTCATTTGTCACCGTTGGTTTGCTTTGGCAAGGAGGTTCTTTTGGCGCAGTCCAGCAGAAATCTTTATATATCATATCTCCAAGCAGATCTAAATTATTTCTTCGGGGCAATTAAGGGGAGGCTAATGGCCGTCTTAAACTAGCCCATGATTCCCCTATCTGCTTGGAGATTTAATAGCAGAAATCGCCATGTGACAATCATATTTCTGTGATGTGACTGCAACATTTTGTTGCTGTTTTGGCGCGGAATGCCCAAGCAAGGAAAATTGGTTTCCTCGATTTAAATTTTTTTCTGATATTGCAGTTGAGGTATTTTGAGTCAGTGAAATAAACACGTCCTTCAGTTTTGTTTTCATTCATTTTGCTATTAAAAGGCGGTTATTTTGGGTGTCGGTACATTCTCACCTTGTGCCGTTGTAATTGCCTCGTACAAATTTCATGAAACTTTTGTTCAAATTCGAACACTCCATGAAATTTACACACAAGTTACAAAAAGGTAAATATTACACATTTTTCGAGGGAGAGAAGATAATAGCAAAAAGAAAAGAAAAAACCTAAAGTACGTATGACCGCGATCCGTTCGTTAAAATAAGTTCAGTAGAGCATCGATCATTAAACTTATATATACATGTATATGGTATGATCGTATAAAATAATTTGGTTTAACATTTTATCTTGACGAATAGTAAAGAAGTAAGCTTGATTTTTTGTATACAAAACTTCAGCACGTTTCTCGGCCGCGACAATGACGTCTCTAAAATGCCTTACACCATTTCGGCCTGTAATATTATATCAAGGAGGTTTAAAATCGCTTCTTGATTATATGTACGCGCACGCAAGGCAAGCCTCGAGGCTAGACTGATCATGATTGGCCAATACGCGGTCCTGTCAGCGCGAGATTGTGTAAAGCAATGTAACACCGGCTAGGCGCACTTAGGCTAATTCCTGGGTCGGGATCCACTTCAATCTCCTCCAGGCTCTTATCTTTGAACTAATTCTTATGCGTCCTGACTTGTCTCAGTGCGTGACTAGTATCTGCATCGGTATAGCCGGTATAACCGCCCTTCGGCGTAACACACCAGCTTCGTAGGCACGCGGCGCGGCGGCAGCTAGCTATATCACACCGAACGGCTTGTTACACTCAATCTTTGCTGCACATTTGATTGCAGGAGTTGTTTAAAGCTTTCTAGTGATGATGACTAGTACATGTATATGAACGCCTGTAATCAACGGTTGTTTAGAAGGCGCAGCCAGAACAGTTAGGCGTAACGTTACATTATGTGGTGTATCAGGGACGGGGTCATTGGTACGGTCAAAGGTTACATTGATGCTGACCTAGTAACGGTGCAGACGAAAAGTTGTGGACCGGGGAAATGGCTTCTCCTGAAAGTGCACAGAACACTTCTGTGCTAGGAAAGCCGACTTTCTGTGTTATCACCGGGGCCAGTCGGGGTCTAGGCCGTTCCTTGGCGGTGGAGTTGTCCGGCAGTCTAGGGGAGGGGTCCCGCCTGGTGCTCACCGCCAGGTCGCTATCCGGGCTGGAACAGACGCAGGCCTTGGTGAACAAGACATCGGTCAGCGTCAAAGTAGTCAGTGGTGATCTTGAGGACTCTGACAGTTATCACAACTTGTTTCAGGGGATTTTCAGTGACATTACCCCAGGTGAGTTAAGAAAGATTTTAGTGGCCAAAGGAATCAGGTAGAACACGTCATTTCTTTCTAAACTTAACCTGGTAACGTTTTCATTCACCCCTTATTTAACTTACTATTTTAAGTTACTAGTACTATTAAATACTAGTATCCTGTTTCAAAAATGTAACGTTACCTACAGTAATTGCAAAGAAGCTCTGTATATGTCATAGACACGCCGTATAATCTATGGATACAATGTATAGTGACCCTCTATATATGGTGTAACGTTAATTATTATTACTATAACAGCGAGCAGATTATTATTGGAACAAGGAGAAGTCGTAGACATCATCCCTCCATGAAATAGCTTGTTATTTTGTAATCTTTTGGTGTATTTCAATAGAGATCTTATGAGTCAAACTTTGTTTTTATCAGCAGAATGATTTGTGGTGTCACTTTGTATTTATCAAGCTGTCATGTGCAGGCGTTTAGTGTCTTGTTACCATGGTTTGTTTACTTTGATGGCCAGCAGGTCATTTGCCTTAGCCTGGGTACCATCCCCAGTAGTATATTCGCAAACTCTATAACTGTTATAGAGTTTGCGAATATACTACTGGGGATGGTACCCAGGCTACATTTGCCTGTACATGTAGGTCAATGACCAGGCAAATGACCTGCAGACCAGACAAACAAGATTTATTTTCCTGCAGACTGTCTAGGGGTAAAAATAGATAGGACTGCCTGGGTCTGACCTGCCAGCTGGAGGTATAAACAAAAACACTCTGTCCCAACTTTTGGGTCAAACAGACCATCCTATTATGAAGTAGGGGTGAAAAAGTGAAAATCCTTTTAAATTAAGCAATAAAAATATGCGACAACCTGCTAATGCACTCCAAAACACAAAGAGACTCAACAACTACCCACATACCAAAAATCATACCAAACCATCCCCCAGATTTTCCAAACATTCAACACAAAAAGTCCAACATTAAACATTTTGTAAATATCAAACGCAAACAGCTAGGGGACCCAAATTTAAACCACTAAACCATGGTAATAACAACTACATGCTACCTTAATATCGCACAAACAGTCCATAACGCGAAAACAACAGAATAAAAAAATTAAACTGCAGTACCAAGGTCAATCACCAGGGGCTCAAAGTCAACCTACACAATCTCCAAGGCCCATCCATCAATCTGCCAAATATCGTACAGTTCCTTCTCACCGATCTTCAGATATCAGACCAAACATGAAACGGAGTAAAAACAGTACCCCCATTTTCATGGAGGGTAATGAGCAGAGCACTTTGGACTAATCTCTCTGGCTGTTCACAGCTTAGAGGTACGTATCCAATATTTTGTCAAAAACATCTCTGTTACATAGCGGATCATCATGACCCCCAGTGGGGGTCTTCACGCTTCGTTAAAAATGGAAAAATCTCAGGATTTATTCCAAAGATCTCAATATTTTAGACGAAATCTTGAGATCTTATGAGACACTCTCAAGATCTTTCAGAAAATCTTAAGATGAAAATGAAAGGTCTCAAGATCTTCCAAGATATTTTTAAACCATCTTGAGATTTTTCCATAGCATCTCGAGATACTTTGAAAAATATCAAGATTTTTTAAAGATCTCATGATTTATAAAGTAATCTTGAAATTTTTAAAGCATCTCGAGATGCTATGAAAAAATCTCAAGATGCTTTGAAAACAACTTGGAAAGATCTTGAGACCTTTCATTTTCATCTTAAGATTTTCTGAAAGATCTTGAGAGTGTCATGAAAAATCTCAAGATTGTCTCATAAGATCTCAAGATTTCGTCTAAAATATTGAGATCTTTGGAATAAATCCTGAGATTTTTTCCATTTTTAACGAAGCGTGAAGACCCCCGCTGGGGTTCATTATGATCCGCAGATGAAAACAGATGTTTTTGACAAAATATTGGATATGTACCTCTAAGCTGTGAACAGCCAGATACATTAGTCCAAAGTGCTCTGCTCATTCCAATAATAATCTGCTCGCTGTTCTATATATTTATAGACACGTTGTATATAGTGTAGACACAACATTATATCATGCATACGTCATTCTTCCAGGTGTGTTCCAACATGCCTTGCTTATCCACAATGCCTCCTCACTGGGAGATGTTACCAAAAGGGTGGTAGAGCACAGAGATGCTGTTGTGCTACAGAAGTATTACACAACGAACGTTACCTCCACCATCACCCTCACAGCCAGGTTCCTTCAGGTCAGACTTCTTCATTCCTTCCTGCAGTTGTTTCTGGGCAGACCTCATACAGCTGTGTCTTTATTTTGAGGCTAGAATTGCTGCAACATTAGTACCAAAAATTGGACAAACGTCAAAGTGAGCGAAATCTTAGGTTGATATTGAAAATCATTTCGAATCGTGTGTTAATGTATACCATGTATCTAAGTTTTAGTAATAATACATTTTCCACTTCCTTTGGATCAAAAATTGACTTTAATCATCCCAATGAAACCCATACTTAAGATTCAAAAACAGTACCCTCAGAAAAAGTTGGTGATGTTTAGAAATGGGGGAGTAGGGGTGATCTTGAAAATCATGTCTGCTGTGTGTGTGTTTGAATGTTCATCAATCTTCAGCCCTAGCAATTTAATTCTCCTCTAACTTTGGCTCAAAAACCAATGCAGATCATTGATATCATGCGTATGTATATCTAGACTGCAGAAACTGTTGCAGGTTGATTAACAAAAAAATCTGTTGTACTGTAGATATTTCCGAGCTGTGACGTGACCAGGACGGTGGTAAACATCACCTCCAGTGCAGGGTTCACACCAATCAAGACCAACTCTCTATACTGTAGTGGTAAGGCAGCAAGGGACATGGTCTTCAAGGTAAGGGAAATTTGTGCAGTGTCCCCTCTGATTGGCATGATTTCAATCCAATTCTATCCATGAATTTGTGAATAAGCATTTACTACATATACTTGAGTATCAGAACATGTACCCCAAAACACACATGAAGAAAATTGCTAAAAAAAAAATAACCAAAAGGTCCCGGGTTCGAGTCCTGACATGCCACCAACGTTGTACCTTTGGAAAATGCACTATATACAATTTTAACTCACTTACATGTAACTCAAGTGAAAAGGAGTTCTGTATTTGTTTCTATGTGTGGGACACAACACCAGCTACAGCTGCCTGTGTCGGACATGTATTGTATTGTTACAATTTCAATAAATCAAATCAAATCAAATAGCTACATAATGGATGTATATTCAAGTTATACTCAGGGATTTTAAGCAAGCAGTAATCGCTGGATATTAAAGCAGGATAAATGTAAAGTACAAATACCTCTGTGATTACATCTTTGTTGAAGTGACTGATACAGGATAACTTCTGTGTTACCCTGAGAACAGGTGCTAGCGGAGGAGTCTCCAGAAGTTCGTGTTCTGTCGTTCTCCCCGGGCGCCATGGACACAGAGATGTTCGAGTACTACAGAACACACGTGGGAGACCCTGAGGTCAGGACCCTGCTGTGTCGGCTGGCAGAGGACGGGAAACTCCTCAAGCCGGAATTCTCTGCACAAAAACTGGTCCAAATTCTGGAAGAGAACTCCTACAAGTCTGGTGCCGTACTCGACGCTTTAGGTAGATTTGAACACTGACTGAGATGCAAATGACTGTAAATACACATTACATGCACGAATAGTAAAACAAGTCAACAAAAGCAATTGACATCAACTCTTTATCACAAACCTAACTGCTAAGCATGTACATTGTACATTTGATATAATGTACATGAATTTTCACAAGTCTTTGATATATTACTACTGTACGTGAATTTTCAAGTTTGACACAAGTCTTTATCTTAAGCAGGAAACACGTCCAAAGTCAAGTAGAAAATCAACTGGTGTTTATTCTTCATCCAATCTGTAGATTTAAAAAATTCATATACAGGCACAGAATAAGGTCCGCTTTTACTAGTAATTTTTGTAACAGTTTGGTTGGCAATTCAAGACAAGAACAATACAATGTTCAACAACTGTTGACAGAATAACTTAGCAACTACCAACCCTACATTTGTAACAGCATGATCAAGCTGGTTGATAGATACATACCATTTCTCCTTAATCATCAACAGACGTAATAGGTTTTTCAAACTATTGGCCAAGAAACGTAACAGATAGATGTACCCATTTCCCCATATTTTCTGTGCCTTACTTTACGGTCAGCATTGTTGATAGATATACATGTACCCCTACTTTGATTAAAACTTGATTGATGTATCAAAATCCAACTCCTTTACAGTTGACAGGTGTACTCCTGTTTACAAGTACAGACTTGACAGATCAGATGTACTGTATACATGTACGGGGAGGGGGGGTTGAGGGTGTAGTCCCTTGTTTCTACATTGTTGACTGAATGATGCAATCCTCTGTCCAATTCCTGATTATGAAGGTTGCCAGATACATCCATGGCTGTCAGGTTTGTTGACATATGGAATATCCACAACCCAAGGTTGGTCTGTAAGTTAAGATAGGGGAATATCCATCAACTTTGTGTAGACAAAGGAATCAATGATTATTGCTGATTACAATTTGATCACTTACATGTACAGACATGTTCAATATGATGTACAGTTGTTAGGGATGACAAATTTCAGTGCGTCAGTAGTCAGTTGTCATTAGTGGTAATTGTAAAATGTTTGTTGAGAAAAGCAATTGTGGAGAAAAGTCTTTGTTGAATTAATATTTTGATACGATGTTTAATGGAGTTATGTAATAAACTCAGTTTTGGAACTTTTTAAGGTAAGTTTTGGAACTTTTAAGGTACATCACATTGTACATGTACTTTGTTGCCTGCCTGTACAGTCCCTGTAAAAAGTATATTACCTACCATTGGTGCCGTAAGGTAGTGGTGGTAGGTCATACGGGATGGGGAAGGGTACAGGGCTAGGTGTGTGCACAGCAAATGTTGTGTTCTCACCCTGCAGGAAATATTCAACTCTTTTAATGACAGTGTTGGTATGAAAAATAACTAGAATGAACCACAGCACCGTAGAGTCCTCTTCCCTTGTTTTACATAAATCAACAAATGAAATTCTAATAATTACAATCAGCCTTGCAGACAAAGTATGAATCGTGTTGAGAACAAACAATTTATGCTCCTTTATGTCTGTGCATTATTGCATAATACTATAGTTGTACAAGTATGCATTAGAAGCTAATATAGCACTGTAATAAAGTCCTTTTAAAATGTTTGACAGAAAAATGTAAAATGCCTGTACTGAAAATAAAGTCAAAATATCTAATATCTGTGCAATAAAATGGGCACACGAAATTCAAGAGGCATGGATGGATGGCAGAACACAAACTCACAAAGTCCTGAGGCAGGAAAAGGACTCCAATCTCATAGGACCTGATCATCAGCTGAGCACCGTTTTTCTCCAGGGCACCCCAGGCTGCCTTCGATAAGTTAGCACTGCAATATACAACAACAAACAGCTTTAGAATGTATGGTAAGAAACTTTTTTCTTTATTCAAACAACCATCAATAGTACAGATATAACATATATTACATAATACTTTTGAACAGCATTGAAACTTGAAACATGCCATGTTGAGATTGTATACTGCACCTGGTGACCAGGAACCAGGCCAGTCTGTCACAGTCAGGAGATGTTCTGGTGTAGGTTTTGATGTGCGGTGAAGCTCTCGTCCTACCTCGTGCACTGGCACTCCACTGGCTATATGTGAGGGTGTAACATAGAGAACATCAAGTTGTTTCATGTCAGGCCACACCAAGTAAATTTTATGGATGACGTCCGCGCGTGCATTGATTTTGGCCTGTTCCTAGAAAAAAACCCAAGAAATTCTGCTTCCTGTATTACAGTAACTATGACCAAAGAGTCACCACAGTGCCGCAAATCTTCAGATTGATGTGAAACCCGTAAAACAAAAACAGGACAGGACGACAACTGCTGTTCCACCTGATTTATTGCTGTTTTGATGACGAATAAAAGACTTCTTGCTTGTTACACTGTGTCACCTCATTCAATTTGTGTCCTAACGTTTGTTGTCTCTTAGTATATTTCTAATCTAGGCATCTTGTTTTTTAGGGCCCTTCTTGTTTTTTTTTTCCCTTTCGCATTAGATTTAGGGTCTCCAAAGGACGTCATCCATAAAATTTACTTGGTGTGGCCTAACTTTCAATCAGTTGATGGTGCTTTTCAGGGACAGGGATGGTGTCAGGTCAATACCAGGGATGATGATACTATTCAGGGACAGGTACAGTGTCGTCAGTTCAGTACCAAGGATGGTGGTGCTTTTCAGAACCAAGGACAGGGATTGTGTCAGTTCAGTACATTTGTACTAGGGACAGTGGTACTATTCAGTGGTGTCAGGGATGGTGATGTTTTTAGGGACAGGAATAGTGGTGTCAGTTCATTACCAAGGATGGTGGTGCTTTCAGCACCAAGGACAGGGATGGTGTCACACACAGTTTTTATCAGGAAGACATGAATACCATGTCAATACCAGGGATAATGAACTATTCATGGACAGTTACAGTGGTGTCAGTTCAGTACCATGGATGGTGGTGCCCTCAGCACCAAGGACAGGGATGGTGTCAGTTCAGTACATTTGTTTGTACTGGGGACAGTGGTACTTTTCAGGGACAAGGACAGTGGTGCCAGTTCAGTGTCAGGGATGGTGATGTTTTTCAGAGACAGGGACAGTGGTGTCAGTTCAGTAACATTGATGTATTGTGGTGCTTTTTTTTAGGATCAGGGACGGTGCATTTCAGCACCAGGGACAGGGATGTTGCTGTGTGTAAATGTTTACTACCTACCCTAAGAAAAGATGACAATGACTTACTGCAAGAACTTGTTCAGGTATGGCTGCTTCCTGGCAGTGTTGATGCTGTAAGGTAGTGACCCACCAGCTAGAAAAATACATTAAACATAATGTTAATGTTGATGTGCAAAACACAAATATTGTGGTGACTGAATATCGTGGGCCCAACAACTTAACTGCTGGGAAATATTTACTAATTTTGACATTTGTCACAGGATTAGTAACAAGGGATTAGCATGTTTGCAAAAATATTATACAGAGTGGACAAACTAGGAACTGGGCACAGAAAGTTTGGCAGTGAGTAAGTGCAAGTGAGGCTAAATATAAATCAATGACATGGAATGTAACAGTGCTCTTACCAGGGTATCCTTCCAGACTGCTTCTAACATTGTTCACACTTGGGTAAATCTAAGGGAAAAGAACATCATAATCACTTCTAATGATCTCTGCAAAAATTACATAGTTATACTGAATGTGTGTTTAATATATTTTGCCAGCACATAGTTGCTATTAAAGCTTATCTATAAACTGTGTGTGTTACAAACTGAGAGATAGGACATTTTCAATGCGTGTCTACTTGCTACATGCATGTACATTGTATGCAGAACATGGAACTTCCCGTGTCACAACTTTCAGCTTTTGTACACCTGCAGAATTTCTATGAATGCCTAACATCTGCCTGACTGTATTGCTTTACATAACGTCCACTGTTCACTAAACAGATGAATTTGAAGATATACACATACAAAGAGCCGCTCTTCTAGAGTATGTTACAGTCAGTCACGAATGTTATCAACTTGGTCAAAGGCTTTCAATTCATAACTCTCTTGTGCAAAGGTCTAACATTTCAGACTTTCTATATCTTTCCAATGCAGCGGATACAAAATAAACACCATAATCTGCTACATCTCACGTCCACATCATCACATAGGAATGATATCCGCCCACACACACGTCTAGTGGGAGGGAGACAGTGTGTAAATTATTCGCCCACACACCATTTTTGTCAGGAAGACATGAATACCATTTCAAACAAGAAAGTAGGAAGAATTTCTTAACTTGAGACCTAAAGCCCCGTTAAGTCCCTAGAGTGGAGTGAGTGGGTGGCACATGCAGGATGACAGATAGGATAAGAGGCTTCAACTTTAAGGTGTGCCATGACTTAAGAGCTATCTACACATAGAGAAGTAATGGAGCAGCGGGGAAAGGGTGTATTGACAGTCTAACCCAGGGGTCCTGTGAAATGAAGGTAATTGGACATACTTATGTACTGTATATAATGATTTAGTTATAATAAGCTCTATGATGTATATGAAACCCATGGCAAATGAGAGTAAAAGCTGTCAGCATTGACAAATTTATCTTCATCTATTGGCAACGGAATCAATTTTTCATAATTTTTTACATACTCATTAGTATAGTTAAATGCTACAATGCACAAATGGGTGGCCCATGGGAATGGGGGATGAATTCTTATGTGCCTGCTGCATCTTAAGCTTGTGGTAGAAAAAAACTAACTGCAGAACACAAATATATTCAAAGATTTTGAGACCTAGTCAGTACTACTGCAAGTAACCAGCACAATACCATATCAACAAGACTTTCAGGTAATATTTTGTGCTTTCCTGACCTTTAACTACATTCATAAAGCACAAGGAAGTGTTTTTGGGGTTTCCGTGAATGTATTGGAACTTTGGAGGGGATTCTATGATGTAATCTAATCATTGACAGGTATTACGACACTTCCTGCATTTACATACGGTCCACTTACTCCCACCCAACATGCAATGGGAGCAACAAGGACAAACATAGACACAAATCCACAGCTCAGCCACCCAAAACAAAACTTCTGCATGTACATACTGTTGACTAGTAGCACAACATCATGGTTGTAGTTACACTGGAATGTCCTAGTTCCTATAATACCTGCTGTGAAATGGTAATAATAGCTAACAACTTGCCAGCTGCAGCTGGGGTTGTCTGCTGCCCAGTGTAAGGCTTGGTTTTCCCCTGACTGTGGCCAGACTTGCCAGCCATTCCCCACACAGCCATTTCTGGGCATCAGCACCGAGGGACCCAATACTGGAGAACTGTCCAACCACTGGCCAACCTTTCACCAGGTCTGCTGGTGGACCTCGTGCTTGAAACACCTGTTAAAAGGTAGAAAAATCTTACAGAACCTGAAAACATCTGGTCTTAGTAAAATGGTACAAGAACAAACAACTGCCTGAATGAAAAATTAAGCTCATCTGTGTTGGTAGAATCCATAGTTATAGAGTTCAAGCTTTTTTCCAGCACATGAAAGGAACTCACCATAAATTTTCAGTCGATCTTGTCAACCTTTGTCAAATGTGTGATGCACTCGCTGACTCTCCAGAAGTCGGAAACGTGGTGACATCAGTGTGTTGGAACAAAGCTTGAACTTTATAACAGTTATTTACTATAAACAGTATAATTTCACCATTTTAAAATTCTAAAAACTTACAGAGAACTGATATATACTGACTTCCAAAAACTGTGCGCCATTATCACAAAAAAAATGTCCTGACCTTACCTGTCTCAGTTTCAGGTGACCCCACTGGTTTTTATTTCCTCCCTGATGTCGCCCTGGTACAGAGGCCACAATATGAACCCTACAGAAATCACAAGCAAAAGCCTGGAGTGTGATATGGCACTATCATTTCAGACCTCTAGAAACCAGTACAGGATAGAGAAATTTCCATATTGCAGACATTAATTTACATGTACCTGTGGTCTCTATGGCTACTGTTGGTACATTTATTTGATGTCAGCATTTAGCAAAATGGCTTCAGGCTTATTCAACTAAATTATGAATCTGAGTCAGAATAAAAAGAGCAGTAATCTTACTGCTTATTTTTTGGTCCAATGTCTTGGACTAGTTGGAGCAGAACCTCTCAAAAATCACTAAACTGTTTGTCTCCTAAGGCAACATGACACCAGGCTGACACAAAGCTAATATTCTAATCCTTCAACTCATCCATATTTCTTCATCCTTAGGGCTTCAAATGACTGGTCTCAGATAACTGATGACATTTCTGGGTTACTCCTTTCCGACAGTTTAAACAGACACTCATTTCCTATTCCGATTGCCTGCCTGCATAGAATAATTGCACACTGCAGCAAATTACACCCGGCACATTGCTGACGGTATATCTTATAAATTGGCGAAACGTTACAGTAATTGTAACATTAGTATGACTGGCAAGCTTCTAAACAATTTCCTATACCTCTGCATGATATAATGATATACTTGCAAGGAATATCAATCTACATGAGGTGACAAGAATTACTATTTCCAAGGCAATAGATAAGCAATTAACCAGCAACTTGCTGATGCCTTAAGGGATTAATTAAGCTGGAGAAAGGAGATATCATCGTCAGCAGTACTGAGACTAATTGGCTTGTTGGCCTGTCCTGCTCCAGGACAGAACACCCAAGTGTACTGTTATCTAAGGGTATGCATGGATAAAGGGAAAACAGTGGATGAAGTGGATGGATACATGTACATGTGTGCATTGGGTTCCTTGTTACATGTATGTTATGAATGATAATAGAAGAAAGTTTAAGGAGCACTCAAGTCAGGAGGAGGGTGTTATTTTGCAATAGATTATCTATCAATGAATATGCATATTCAGTCAACTTTTTACTGTTACTTGTACAATGTGTGTTTTGAAAAATAATATCAGTATTAGCGTCTGTTGCTGCCTCCAGGCAGACCCTATCCATGCATTCCCTATATACATATTTCACTTCATTTCAACATGACTATCTTTGGCGTAAATGCTTGGAGAAAAGCATGGTAAGTTGTTATCAGGGACTGTTGTATTTCAGTGTCACTGGTGACATACCGGGGTAAGCACTTTAAAGTAAGCTCATATTACCTTGCCTCTGACATGTCATGCTTCTGTATGTGCTTTCTCCACTCTTCAAGGGCAGGCTTTCTGTAGGCGGCCAGGTATGCCAGCAGGTCTGCCTTGAAGTTTGTTAAGGAGTCTCCGCTGGAAGGGGCAGAGCCCTCGGGTAGTTTGGGGAAACGAGGACTTAACCAAACCCTGTACACGCACAAGGTGTGGCAACATGTTCTGCTTAACACAGGATTCAATACAAGTCAAAAAATACAATTGAATGGCAAGACATAATGTCTGTGATGTACAAAATGCAATCAGAAGGAAAATTCTAATCATAATTGAAGGCTGCTGTTTCTTGATTTCCCTTACTCCCTCAGGTAGTCAGAGTTGGAACTGCAACCAACACTGCATAACCTGGTTAGAAATTCTGTCTTGTTAATAAGGTACATGTACATGCCTTTTTCCCATAAAAATATCAAAATCCTGGGAAGTGAATGGTATACAAGGAAACTAAATTGGTGGAAATTGGCAGAATAATTTTTTACAACATCTATTCCATTGTTTCAGGAATGTTAGCAGTTTATTTTGCAGCAGTACCATGTGTGCAATAATATCATGATTATATTATATAATTATCTCCTATACCCAAATAATAGTGATAAATTACTGAAATATGATAATAATATGATATCATATTACATATCATATTACATGTATCATGAGTAATGGAATAAAAGCAGTGATAGTGGTATAAAACCAGCAAAGACAGTTCATATTTTGTGTTGGGTATTGTGGTTCCTAACTCATTATGAATTCAAAAACCATTTTAGGGTTTAGTCTGTTTTATCCTATGGGACTAATGTAACATGTTACGCTGAAAACATCCATTCATTCATCTATTCAAGGACATGTGTGATATCAATCATACTTCTCCTGTACATCGGAAGAAAATTAAACCTTGATGAAATATTTCACAACGGTACCGTGCTTGATGATCCTTCCTGTTGTCAAAAAAAAGTCTGCCAATGTGTCTCCTCATGAATAATTTACGACGATCCTTGACTAAATTGCATAACCAGCCAACTGCCACAAAGCATCACACACGGCTTCTGTTTGAAATTGGTAATTACAAGCTGCATAAGGTACTGATAGGATGTAGTCTTCCTGCGGGGTGGACTCTCACTGCTTGGCTCAAGAAGCATGGTGAATCCTTTACCCATGCTTGAAGTGTGGCTAATTTGCTATAACATAGGATCAGCAATGCCGAGAAGAACTTGGAACTCCTACCAGTGCCGTGTAAAGCATTTATGTCCAGAACTCCAACCCTTGGGGATCAAACTGAGATGCCAGCCTTTCATTATCGACACTCACATGACCCGAGGACTGAAAGAACCTCTGAGTCCATTAAAGTGTCACCCTGACTTTGACGCCAGCTTGGGACATGTACTTGACACTTCAATAGTTTAAAAAAGTGTATGGTGCTACTCTATTTGACAAACAAAAAAAGGAAATTGCAAGTTGACATTTTACCTGCAATTTGCAAAGAATGTCTGCAAATATCAAAGCTCCAGGTAAAGCGATAATCATTTACAAAGTGTTGTAATTGTAAGTTTTAAACATGAGCTGAACTTTGTCAAATCATGTTCTTTTTAAATCTTCACCCCTATATGCATTTTGTACGGTAACCTTCCTTAATATATTGATTCACTAAATTAAATACAACAAAAACTCAATTTTTCAGCATGCAATATTGGAAATAGATCAATTGTTATTTTCATCTTTTCTTTTAAAATTTCTTTGATGTACAAATTATCATTAGGACTGCATGGTTGCAGGTGTACACACTACAAAAAATGTTTTTTCTTGTTTTTCTTAATAATAAATATTTTCTTAATTCGTGGACAAATTTTCTCACACAAAGAAATTTTAAGACTGAAGACGGATGAGTAAGGAAAAATTTCTTCAAGTGAATTCTCCCACGAAGAACTTTTTTCTCATTTTTCTTCAGTGAAGAAATTATTTCTAAAAACGGTAATTGCCTTCAAGAATTTCTAGAATTTCAAGTTTAAATTTCTTGATCTTCTTGTCTAGCAAGATTGTTTTTCTTGATTGTTCTAAAAAATACTAGAAGTTATTTCTGCCCTTTCTTGTATTTCTTCTGATAAGAAAAAGCAAGAAAATCAAGATATCAAAAAACAAGTAATGGTTAGAATAACATTCTTATACATTCTTGTTTTTCTTATCTAGAAACTTAAGAGAGGCATTTTTGAGTTTTCTTGGTAATGTTTAAGAAAATACAAGAAGCTGTTTCTTTCTTTTCTTGTATTTTCTTCAGGT